CTTCGAGTTATTAACTGTCACGCGAGCTGAAGTTCGGTCAAATAAAAAATAATTGATTCCACACAGATACTGAAAAGGAAAGTAAATGTCAGCTCAGAAAGGTAAGATTCATTTTTCGGTTAAGTGACGTTTAAGAACACACAAAGTCATTTCCTTTGATATTTTTTGTAGCAACTGAGTTTTTACCGCGAACACGAACGAGCATATGTAGCGGGCAAGTTTGGGCATGCCATTTACTGTGATCTCGTGGAAAGTGTTTGTTGCATTGGTCATTAATTTCATGAAGGGAATTCATTATCACACGAAAACAGAGGCTGAAATTTGACCATGAAATTATTGCGAGTTATTTTATCGCTTCAGCACCTTGAAGATAGTCGAGGAACAATCAAACTATTTCTCCTTCGTATTACTGGTGTCGCTTCAAGTACAAAGTATGTTGAAACTCCCGGAACGTTATTGTCCGGAGTAGGTTTAAATGTCTTATTTGTCGTTAGGGTTTAAAATGTCTTCGACTGCCTGAGTTATCAATTTATTTTTGGCTAACCGAACCGCATCTAGTCGCGAGCGATGAATTTTAGGTGCTAAAACGAAATTAAATGCTTAAAAAATCACTTTCCTCAAGTAGGCGCTCAGCTATTTGAGCGTTGCTTGAAGAAATAAAGTTAGATGTAGTGAGTGGCCACACCTCGCCTTCTACAAAATCTTTTTGCTAATAAATTTCAAGCTTTTAAAAACGATTGACGGAAATTATTGACTATCTAAAAACGTAGGCGACGACTTATTAAAAAAAATTCGGTCGCTGACAGTTCTATACATTCCCATGAAAGCTTCAAGTTTCGGTCTCGATTAATTTCCTTTGGAGTGTGAAGGAGAAAATAATGGTCATTTTCATTATTATGGCCGGGCCAAACGTGTCTTAGTTGGTTCCGCCACGATGATTTTTGCGTTGCTACCATGTTGACATTGTCTTCAGTCGTTCTAGAACTAAATCATGTGATTTTCGATTTTGATGTTGTAACAATGTCCATCAAAATATCCTTTGAGGTCCACTGACTGCAGGGCTACTTGGCTTACCGCACACACGCACATGGCATGTCATAGGCTCCATTTCCCTCGGCGTCATTGAAGACTGAAACTGAAATTACCGACTTGATAAATTTGTTTAAAGCCGTCAGGTCGATTTTTGTTTTCATTATCGCATTTTTCAGCGAAAAAGGATTAAGATTAATTAACAATAACACAAATGGGACATACGTTATTCTTGAATAAGATAACAACCGTTCAAAATCAAACTTGGAATTTGCATTATCATAGACAAAAACGCTGACTAATCCTATATTCAGATATATTTGTTGTAAAATGCAACAAACAGAGTAAAGCGGTGACGCAGGTTCATTTACGAGATAAATGAAATATGTGAACACTGGGAATACTAAATGTAACACGAAAAGCTTATTTATCAAAAGATAAATTAAAGGTTGACCTACTTGCTTATTTCCTTGATAGTTGTCGAAGTTTTACATATCACAACTTTTCTCAGCTCGGATCAAATTATATGTAGGCCACCAAAATATGCATGCTCTCAGGAAGACCTAACATCCAGAAGAATACATTCATGACCGATCTTTCAGGACTTTTCAGTACAAAACCCCTAACGATTCTTGTATAATGTATCAAAGCTCGCCAAGCAGTGTCGAGGATGTTACTCCGTAGGAAATACACGTGGCGTTACATCATTTTGTCAGTGGAACTGGAGCTCAGTCTCCCTGACGGTAACACTTCACACAAAAGTTAAAAGATTATTTAACATTTACACTCTCGACTTAAAAATGATGGACCCGGAATTCTTTTCATGATTCTCAAACACTGAGTAAAGCTCCACATGTAATACCTCACATTTCCGGCGATACACTTTCTAGGAACGAAACGAAAAGCTCAGAGGTCGTGCGGCTTGTAATTTGTCTTAACCCGTATAATGATTGTGGATGTATGAAAGTCATATATGTGCACTGCGGTGAAGAAACGAATATAAGAGATCCTCGCAACTAAGAACACTACTGAAATAGTAGTTGAAATTAAGACCTGAAAAAAATTCAGACCCGTTCGTGATTTGAACCCATGACCTCTGCGATACCGGTGCAGCGCTCTACCAACTGAGCTAACAAGCCAACTTAACCCTTTAACTCCCATTAGTGACTAAGAGAGAATTTCTCCTTACAATGTCAATATAATATCAACCAGAAAAGTGATGAGAATAAAGAAAACTATCAATTTGGGGAATAATTAGTTGATTCGATACTAAATTCTCTGAACTAACATTATAAGAATTGTAAAGTTGACAGTAAGGAGAATTACAAGGTAAGTCTGGAAGTTAAAGAGCTAAACGGTGTTGCGTCACAGAAATCCTTACTTGATATAACTTATCTGTGCAGAAGCTTTGCTGAATTACTAAACACAAACTGAATTTTAGGCCTTAAGCCAGGGAAGAAGACAAATTTCTGAGAAGGAAAACCTCTGACGATGGCACATTGAAAAAAGGTTTCATTTAAACAAATTGAAACCTGTATTGTCTTTTTCAATACAACTTTTGGAAATGAAAAGTTCGTAGAAAGATTTAAACGGCAAAAGACAATTCACGAGTGAATAAAAAGTCCGTCACCCAAATATAAAGGCCAGAGGGCGCTTTCGAATGATCTCAGAGTTTTCCTTTGTTCCATTTACATGACAAGAGGAATGATACTAGTATACGAAAAACGAGATGAAAATTTAATATCTTGAATTTTTTGTTTTGTTGTTGTTGGTTATTTTTTCATTCAAACACATGACACGCGCCATGTCAAAGATAAAAACGCAAATTGCATATTAATGAATTATTAATTCTATGTGGCTTTGCTCAAGAGTTAGAGAGCGAGGAAAATGTTGATGAAGCTGACGAAAGTTGGATTTGTTCCCTTTTTTGTCACATTTAAGATCCCTTTAATGATTTAACGTCGTGTAGGAAAATACACAGACGATTCGTTTCTGAAGGCAAAACATTAAATTTCAGCGAGCGATCGTGCTAATGCATTTTTATTTTCGTCTACTACGGCTTAAAGAAGTTAAAGAGATTTCCTTTTCATAGTGGAGATATTCGTACTATTTTCTGTAGCAAAACACCTCTAGCGATAGAATGCGGTTAGACGACGTGTTAGGCACTTGTGGGCACGCTAAATTCACGACTTTCATAGGTTGACTTAAAGAAGATTTATCGCGTGATGAAATCAAAATATCACGCGAAAAATGAACGTTATTGCGTGATAAATGTGAAAGTTGTTAGGTCGCACGTGATCGGCTGTCACGCATGTCGTTTGCGCGGACGAGACTACAATGGCTGCAACAGTTGGAAAGTTCTTTCTTAACGGGGCTGGCGATGCAGAGGTGACATCCAGAAATTTACAAACTTGCAGTGTAATCGGAAAGGTTAGATAATCCACACTTGTTCTCAGACACTGACAGCTATCTCTGAAAGTGTCTGGTAAGATTTCGCAAAATCAAGGTTTACTGAACTGATTCACAGAGCTGTGAGTCGTAGTAGTATTGCAAAGTACTGCTCGATGATCTTCTCACGAAAATGAAACAAACTATTGACCTCAAAACATACCTCTTCATCTGTTGTAGCCATTGTCGTCTCGTCCATAGAAAAAACGTGCGTGACAGCCGATCACATGCCACCTAACAAGTTTCCCATTTATCGCGCGATGTTTTGATTTCATCACGCTATAAAATTGAATTTTAAAAGTGGATGGCGTGTCCTCTATGAGCCACCGTAGGTTAGCTACCCGGGACTTTGTTTGCAAGTAATTTAAAGAAAAAGTGTGCTTCAGAAACCATCTACTTTTAATCTCCAGACATTGATTTTTCCGTTGAATATATTACTTTATGTCTACAAATGTGCTAAAATTGCACATACACCACCACCATTTTGAAAAGAGCTCGCTTTGTATTTTTTTAAAAATTTTATTTCTCTCATAGTTTGTCTTCCATTTCACATCTTTATTTATTCTAATTTCGTGTACAGGCTTGACTCTTAACTCGTATTTTTCTGACCTTCTATCAAAGATAAAACTACGAAATTAGCTTTGACACAAAATCTAGAATTTCTTTCATATTTGCTTAGTTTTTTTCACCGTGGTTCGCGTCTTCCGTTTCTTCGATTGAGACAGAAGGAAGCAAAAGGATATTTACATATTCAACAGACATATAGGTAATTAGTATCGGTATCACATTATTTCGAGTGCAATTTGAGATAACTGATCAGCACGACTAAATTTTTCAAAGGCTAACCAAATTTGTAGTCTTTAGAACATATACGGGTGCTGATATATGCCAAATTGTACGAGAAAAATCATGTGATTACTAGTTGATAACATACAGGCAAAAATTATTCTGTTTTCCTTTCTAGTTGCCTTTATTTCGTGACATAGCCCAACAGTTCGGCCGCTTGCCTTTGCCCCTCTTGTTAACGGAGTAAATGGCCTTTATCCTCAAGAGTTGGCTTAAAACTTTTAAAATCTCCCTCGCAAATAATTAAGCGTCTGTATTCTTTCTCCGTTAGGCATCGGTCGACAGCAGTAAACAACACACGAAAGTTATCACGCTCGTAATCTTCTCTGTCTTTCGTATGAACTGTTCCATAAAACTCCTAGAAAATTTTGTTCAGGGCCTCCGGTCCGTTCTTTCATATCCGTTTTATGGAAGCCAGACATTTAACCAGTTTTTTTTCCTTTGTTTGGTGTTTTGTTTAAAGAATTCTCCCTTAAACTCTGAATTAAAACGTTATTACTTTCTCCTCTCTTGTCCGTCATTTTCTTTTGTGCTCTCGCGACTTACATGGCAATTAATTCTAAATCAGTTATTAGAGTGAAAAAAATGGAAATTCATCTTACAAACTTCTCTGTGTCTCGAATTGTTAGCGGTCTACGTGGGTCGAATTTTACCGGGATGTGGCATCCTGCGTCTCCATGAGGTCAAAAGGCCCGAGACTTCAAGTGGGATGCGTCATTGTGCACCGGAAATCACTGAGGGTGAGTAATATTGTAGGCTATTATTTATGTCTGTAAGAGAATATACACTGACAAACATAACCATGCTTAAAAAACATCATAGAAAAAAGAAACCTGTATTGTAGAAAAACTATGGTTGTGATCAGTTACGACTAACCTTAAAGTTTTTCTTGGTCCAATGTTTGTCCCACTAAATGTCCGCAGAACAATTGGTATTCTACGGGATGTATGCAACAAACGGGCAAAAACTTCATGGTCTTTCTATTTTTCCATTAAAACACATGGTGCTTTGGTCTTGAATTAGACTGAGGAAAATGGAAATTCATCGAACAAATTTCTCTTTGTTAGCGGTCGACGTGGGTCGAGTTTTACTGGGATGTGGTATTCTGTGCCTCCATGAGGTCAAAAGACCCGATCCTGCAAGGGGGATGCGTAAATGTGCACCCAAAATCACTGAAAGTGAGTTACGTTGTTGGCTTTATTTTTTAAGTCTGTAAGGGAATATAGCAAGAAACATTATCATGCTTAAAAAGCACTGTTAGAAAAAAGAAACCTGTATTGCCGAAAAACTATGGTTGTGATTTTGCCGACGTTATACTGGTACCATTTTGGACAGAAAAATGCGGCGGGTGAACTCTCCCTTTGACAGACTAACTTCCCATAATTTAACCCTTGGCAGATCTTGAGCGCCGGCTACAATGGATTTCCTCCTGGAACCCCAAACAAGGACGAAAACTGGGAGAAAAAAGCAAAACATACTTTTGTCGTCCACGCGGAGGCCAACGCTGTGCTCCTGGCAGGCCAAGCTGACCTTGAAGGTTCAATTGCTATTGTTGCAATGTTTCCCTGTCGGGAGTGTGCGAAAATGCTAATAGCGGTGAGTGATATCGAGAACATTCATGCAACTTATTATAGTGAAACCTGTGTGAAACAGGGCCCATAAGCGAGAGAATCTGCATCTTGAAACCTGCATCAAGTGGTTGGCTTAATGAGAACTTTGAGTGTTGTCTTCATTGATTGCGTTGACTTAAAAAGGCCATTCGGAAGGTTTCTAATCGCTTACTCTGTTCCGTTAGGGAGTTCAGAATTAGCAACTATTACACGATTTATTACGCGCGCCAGCGAGAGTCCGTGAGTTACCGATATTAAAAGAGGTTACTGTACAACCCCTTTTCCTTGCTAATTTCAAGTTTCTCCCACTGGCAGGCTAAACAGGATGATTTTTAAGCCTTGTTACCGAAGCCTGTGTGTCTTAGAATGCAAACTTGTGTCCTTATATCTTAGGGATTAAATGTTTGTTGTATTACGCAGGCGGTCCAGTTAGTTTCCCTCAGTGTGGAAGCGGTAATTAACTGATGGATATCTCTTTTTCCATTTGTAGAAGGGTGTCCGTAAAGTATATTATCTGTCATCAAAAGATATACACCAAGAGGAGTCAACTGCCATCTTTAAAGCAGCCAAAGTAGAGGTCGTGTAAGTAATAACTTTCATTAGACTGTAACTCCTTGTGGTAAGAATATTCTCAAATAAACATCATAATGGTGCACTGTTTTGAACGAACAAAAAGAAATATACAAATGCACCATTAATCCTACGATATGGGTTTCAAATTCAAAACTCAGTAGTTCTAAAGAATATGCCAGGCGAAGGAATAAAGCAAAGATAAGTGACTGAATAACTGGGAATTTAGCAAGCGGAAATTACACTATTGGTGGCTCTTCTTGTCCACTGTTTCGAGATCGATTTGGAATATGGAATTTGGTTTATATGGAGGAAGGAGAACCGGAGGACTTGGAGAAAAACCCTTCGGAGCAAGGACAAAAACGAACTAAAAACTCGACCCACACTGTGATGCTAGGTCCGGGAACCCAGGCCACAGTAGCGCTCTCGCCACTACGCCATCTCTGCTACCACACGAATCTATCATTCCAAATTGAAATAAGTCGGTTTGATAATTTCCAATTCTGTGCCACAATGCATCGATCTTTTCATCACAGTTGATGATAAGTATGGGGACTGACCGGTTAATTTTGCGATGAAGGAAAAAAGAATTAAACACAAACAAGAGGGGATACTATATCCTGTCTTGAAATAAATTATGTTTGGAAATGGAAGCTTTCTGATCAGGGTATGTGCGAATGATTGTGCGAAAGGTAAATAAGCTTAAGCAAAACATTAAGTGTTTTATGTATTTCCTCGCGTAGGCCCCCACACTCTAATAAGCGCCCTCCCCCGAATAAAGGCCCACGCCTTGGCGGCTAACCTGTAATGTCAAACAAGTGCCCCCCTGTCCTCTCGAAGAGGTGCTCCGCCTCCTCCTTCACTTAAATAGAAGGAATACAAGAAAAACCTGTTTTCATTGCCATAATATTTACAACTATTTTAGCTTCAACTAGAGCGGAATCAGTATAAGAGGATAATTTTTTTATTCGTTTTCGTTATTTCTATCTCTTTGTGCTCGCGGAGTTCCTTCATTTGCCTTATTTTTTCTTTTCAATTGTTGTCCTATAAATGTGCTAAACGTATAAGTGTGTTCCTCGATTAAGCGCCCCACCCCCTCCCTTGTCGCCGAAGTTTCAAATAAGCGCCTTCCCCTCCTCCCCCGAGGAACGGTGCATATCTATCGTCAGTTTTACAATATCATTTATCTTGTTTTATTCACCTACTCATTCAGTTTTACTGCAATGATTTATTTAGATTTATTTATGAGCGGTAAAAGAGACTTAACTCAGTGATGTTCCTCTGTTCGCAAATTTGTAAGCAATGCTCGGCTTGTTTTTTCTTCTTAGCCACAATGCATCGAGGGGAGGATACGGTTGTTCCTTGATTTTACAAACTGTCCCCGCAGCTGTTCGCCCTTATTTGCGTTCACCTTTTAATCAATTAAGAGTAAGATCTCATTACGCTACTTTAGGCCTTTAAAGTGAGGTGAGGACGAAACATAATAGATACATAGGTGTGTAAGCGAAAAAAAAAAAAAACTGTAAAAAGTAGGGTAAGAATTGCAGTCTAAGGAAGTATTATATAGTAAGTAGAATAAGTAACGTCTTGTAGGTGGTATTGTAAGTAGTGTTCGTCTTGTTTTGTGAAGTAGTGTTCTTCGTGTTGCAATTAAAAAAAAAAACAAAACAAAACAAAAAAAACATGATATTAATTAGCAAGGGGTTTCGATTCTTCATTAAGGATCGGGCTTAAAATCACACGTCAACCATTGTGATTCGAATCTTAAAGGCTGCTTTCGAACAGAGGGATTTTCACTTTCTCGGTAAACAGGAACTTCGTGCTTCTGAAGCGCCCAAGTGGAACAACATCTTAAAAATAAATCTATTGTAATTATAACCTACGGCTCATTTTTCAATAATCAGCTATTGGATGAAACAGTTTATTATCAGGCTGAAGTCTGAAGTCATTCCTGTGAAAAGTGTGCTTCATCCAGGCTTCATCTTTTGGTTTCATAATGAAAACCTAAATAGCTTTATTATGCACAGAAAAACTTAAACTGTAGAGTTTATTGTTACTTTTTGGTTTTGGTGTAATTGTTTATACCTCTACACGGAGATATTGACGGCTTCTAGTTAGAGTGCGTTTGATATTACTTCGTTGTTTGACTGGCATCAGAGAGACTTGTGTCAGAAAATCCTTACATGATGTTATGAAATTGAGACGAACTTATCAAAAGCGTCTCGTTGCGAAAGCGATAAGTTTCATCTGCTCTGTTTTATTCTTCATGGTGGGCGTTTGCTAAGTCAGGTATGAGTTATTATATTTTTGGGCGATGTTAACGTCATAGAGTGTTACATTTACTTAGAGGGATACACCAGAGTGGCGTTTTACAGATAAATACCAAAGAGGTAAACTTAAGTCAGGAGAAAAACGGGGGTAGTCCTAAGATGGCGAAGAACGCAATAAGTAATTAAGAGTGATTGTCAGTAAAAATCAAAGAAATCGTGGCCACGGTCAAAAATCGATTTCGCTCATACTTTGTCAGTTTGAAGGCCTAGGTAAGTAACTGAAGGATATGAGGTTAGTTTTTTGAAATATTCCATATAACGGCAGAAAACCACGAAAAACGGTCACCCTACCGGAAGCTCGGATTTCACCTGGCGGAAACTCGAAATTTTACACTTTTCAGCTTCTCGCTACACAGACGTTTACATAGCTGTGAATCTTTCTTAAGTATAATTGAATACATTGATTCTTCCTTAGTCAAACCATGGGAATTATTTTTATCTCTGCTTATTTGTGAGCGAACTGAGACCCGATTAAGAAGACACACTTTTCTCATTTACGCGAAGGTGTAAAATAATCCAAACTCAGCGACGAAAAAAGCTGACCGGTAGTTCTTCAAATCCTCTGATATTATAACCAAAGACAGCTCAGTCATTGATTTTTAGGTCTATGGTTTTAAATCTCTAGGATCTAGTAGCACTTTTGCATGAACGCCGATCAAAATTCGATAAAATTCCAATTGAGCGCCTTTGAAATCTACAACTCTACATAACAATGCACTATTGAATAAATTAACTCCTCGGCCAAAGTTTGTACATAAAACATGAGGGTTTCACTTTCTTAGCGGTTTGAACCTTTTAAAAATATATATTGATGTTAAATATTGTCTACACAGGTAAAACAAACTATGAAACACCAAAATTACCACGAGCTGAAATTAAATCTCACAGGCTCGCTCCCTAATCTGTGTCACGCACGAGCGACTTCGCTACAATTAGTACAGTAACAAACAGATATTTACATCTGTTAATTTACAATAAGTCTTATTTTAAAATATCTTACTCAACGATGTGCCAGGTTCCTCAGTTAACTTGCTGAAGTAATAATAAAAGAAAATATCATAATAGCAATTCAAACTGAAACGATAAGAATTGATTTTATTAAGAATGAAAAGCTTTATGCCGTCGATAGCCAATCAGAAGTACCTGTTCTCACGAAAATTGCATCGTTCTTTAAATAAATAAATCGAATTATCTTTATCTGTGAAACATTTCATCTAAAACCAGAGTTTATTGTCGGGGAACTTCATAGAACAATGATGTCTTGCTCGTTCTTGAATATTGTTGGTAGGATTTGCGGCGCAGACGAACGCACAAGTTCTTCAACTTCCGTCATGCCTCTCACGCGGTGTAACAGGGATATCAAAAATCACAAAAAGTCCTTGAAATTTTCCGGAATTGAAACGGAGGTAGAATTAATTTTGGCGAGATGTGGATGTTTTCAAAAGCCGGCGAATTTATCGGATATGACTATCTGTCCGGTTCATCGTGCCAAGTTAGGTTTAGGTTGGCGAAGGACGGGTAATCTTTGCACCATCCCGGAAGTTGTTTCTGGTCACCGCAAGGAGCTGAGGAAGGCACCCGCACTGGAAAAAGGAATAAATTTATTCCAATCCATGAAGATATTTGAGCTTTCAAAACAGCTCGTCCCTGCTCAGGTAAGCAACCAACTACTTGATGTTCTACCAAACAGAAACTGTCTCCAATGAATTATTTTTAGTCTATTCATTCTGTTGACTTAAGATTATATGAAAGAATCATTTGTTTAAACGACGGAAAGAAATAAGTAAGGTTGATGTGACGTTTCCACTAGTATACTGTGCAAACTGTGCACTCTGTGGGTGGTTGGGGAGAGAGAGTAGTATGGTTGTTAAATCCTTTCCCCCACCCCCTTCCCTCCTTTTTAAATGTCGTAAAAATGACAGTGCACATTATTTATTCTTCGGTGCCCTCTTTGGAAAATTCTTAGTATTTTTCATCGAATATTGTCAAAATTAAACTTTATTTTCTCTATCAATGACAGACTGTAGTGTTGTTTGACAAGCGCAATCAATAAAACATGCAAGTCGTAAAACTCATAGTGTTTTTAATAGTCGCATTGGACAACAGAATGAAGAGGATGCAAAACTCATTGGAGACAGTTCCTGCTTGGTAGTACATTTTTTAGTTGTTATTTACCTGAGCCCATAGGGACGAGCTATTTTGAAAGGTCAAATATCTTCGTGGATTGGAAAAAATATATTCCTATTCCAGTGCGGCTACTTTTCACAGCTCTTGTTGAGTGACCCGAAACAACTTCCTGTATGGTGCAAAAATTAATACTTTTGAACATGATGTATTACTCAGTAAGTGACACAGGCATAATCGGAAAAAAAATCCGAGTGCTTCATGGGACAAACATCCTGCATACTGCTAGGATTGGAATGTCATGTGTGGCATACGCGCAATGGAATAAATGTGATGGAATATTTTTAAGCCTGGTGAATAAATGAGAATGATGTATTATTCAGTAAGTGACACAGGCGTACTCGGAAAAAAAGAAATCCGAGTGCTCTCGGCCATCAGGAGTCGAAACTATCGACATCGTGTCAGGTTATGCCTAAGTGACACGATGAGACGGTACGGGTAGTCATCTCCAATAAACTCGTTGGCTTTTAAAAACACGCAATCTTGCTAAAATCAATTCTGGTTCAAGTCCGGAGAGTTTTTTAGGACTTCGTGCGATGTTTTATATCCTTGTTACACAGCGTGAGCAGTGTGACGAAAGCTGAGTAAGGGTAGAAATTAGCCATTGGAAGTTACTTAGCAAGTGCGTTCGTCTGCGCCGCAAATCCCACCGACAATATTCAAGAACGAGCAAGACGTCGTTGTTATGTATGTCTATTAACTTCGCCAACAACATACTCTGGTTATATGGTTAAGAAGATTTGTTTATTTAGAGAACGATGCAATATTTGCTTTTCGTGGAAACAGTTACTTCCGATTGGTTTTCGACGGCACAAAACTTCTCATACTAAATAAAATCAATTCTAATTGAGCTAGAATTACTATTAAGGTTTTCTTTTTTTTCAGCAAGTTAACTGGGAAACCTGGCACATCTTTGAGTAAGATATTTTAAAAATACGACTTATTTAAAATCAACGGATGTAAATATCTGTTTGTTACTGTACTAATTGAAGCTAAGTCGCTCGTGCGTGACGCAGATTAGGGAGCGAGCCTGTGAGATTTAATTTCAGCTCGTGGTAATTTTGGTGTTTCATAGTTTGTTTTACCTGTATAGACAATATTTAACATTAATATATATTTTTAAAACGCTTCAAACCGCTAAGAAAGCAAAACCTTTATGTTTTATGTACAAACTTTGGCCGAGGCCGAGGAGTTAATTTATTCAATAGTGCTTTGTTATGTAGAGTTGTAGATTTCAAAGGCGCTCAATTGGAATTTTATCGAATTTTGATCGGCGTTCATGCAAAAGTGCTACTAGATCCTAAAGATTTAAAACCGTAGACCTAAAAATCAATGACTGAGCTGTCTTTGGTTATAATATCAGAGGATTTGAAGAACTACCGGTCAGCTTTTTTCGTCGCTTAGTTTGGATTATTTTACACCTTCGCGTAAATGAGAAAAGTGTGTCTTCTTAATCGGGTCTCAGTTCGCTCACAAATAAGCAGAGATAAAAATAATTCCCATGGTTTGACTAAGGAAGAATCAATGTATTCAATTATACTTAAGAAAGATTCACAGCTATGTAAACGTCTGTGTAGCGAGAAGCTGAAAAGTGTAAAATTTCGAGTTTCCGCCAGGTGAAATCCGAGCTTCCGGTAGGGTGACCGTTTTTCGTGGTTTTCTGCCGTTATATGGAATATTTCAAAAAACTAACCTCATATCCTTCAGTTACTTACCTAGGCCTTCAAACTGACAAAGTATGAGCGAAATCGATTTTTGACCGTGGCCACGTTTTTTGAATTTTCCTTGATTTTTACTGACATTTACTCTTAAAAATTTCAAACTTGAAAAAAAAAAAAAAAAAAAAAAGAGGTGAGGACGAAACACTGAAAAACTTCGAGGAAGACCTGATCCAGAAGGTTAGATCAGTACTGCAAAACACGACACCGGGTGAACCAGAAGGTTTCTATAAAGGCTTGAGGGATAGCACGGAAGAACCAAGGAGCATCTTTAAAGAGAAAAAAAGTGGAAGAGTGCAACGTCACTTACATGTAGCATCGATTTAACAGGGGAGGTACATAAATACAAACCATCTAATTTGTTTCAGGCTTTTTACGAGGACATTTAATTTGTTAATAGGATGCTCCCCGAAACTCCAAACCTCCAAACTCTGATCTTAACAATCAGTATTTATTTGCTCTCATCAGTAGAGATATGGGAACCGGATACCAATATTAGCGCTTCACAGCTAAACAGGGCTGATATTCTAACAGCTTCCTGAGAGACAAAAGTAGCATCACTTTGAGGGTAAATGTGCCATCTTCATATTTTTTGTCCCGAGGCAAAATATTGGCGTGCTACTCAGCATTCCAGTTAAGACAGCCTAAGAAAAATATGAAGCTAAAGTACACACGCGAGGATTTCTGTTATGCATTTCTGACGTTGACAAGACAACATGCCGTTAGCTACCTCTCTCAAGCGCAAAAAATTTCCCATATAAGACATAATGCTGAAGATTCTAAAAGAAAAAGACAAACTGCAATAGCTTGTATTTTATCCTTAATGCCATTATAATTGTAATTAATTATGTGACCCATGGTTGTGCTGAGGTTTTAATTCAGATCTTTAGAATAGAGAAAAGAAAGGCAAATTCATCTAAGTATCCATATTTAGAATTCATTTACATATGTTATATTGGAATATCACGTTTTTATCCGGGATATCTACAAGTCGTTGCGCATGGATGGACACAATTATCTCCCGACCTTATACCCCTCTCGTTGAAATTCTGTGCGATCCGAACGGTTTAATTCAAGTTCGTAATCTAAGACTTCTTCCCAACGGTATTCTGTAAAATCTGTACGTCCAGCTTCTTACACTGACACTTTTTTTCAAAATTATTTTTTCAAGCGGACAACGTAATATTTTTTTTAATTTTTAGACTTTTCTTGTATATTAGGTGACAAACAAAGGGCATTCTTGACGATCGATTTACGATTTGTTCAAAGTTTTCAATAGCTGACCGTCATAATTACGTAAGGAAATAATCTGAATGGGAAGGATAAACATAGGGACTCGTCTACTTCTGCTTTAAACATGATCATGAATGCAGTAGCTTAAATTGCTTACCATAAGTCCTCGTCAGAGGCCCGTTAAATAGCTCTTAATAACCAATGAGTAATACAAGAGCTGTTTCTTTATATAAGATGCATAATGAGTCAAAAGGCCGAATTAAGTGGCGGCATATGTATAGCTTTCACGCGGTTTGAACATTTTCCGTTATAACTAGTGAACATATCTTGGAATGGAGGAGTATGTTAAGCATAGTGGCCTTTACTCGCTGCTTATGTATATCGTATATTTTCTAGAAGCTTTTCGGCAGTATAGTCTGGGCGCGAGAGACCCTTTTTCAGACTGCCCTTGGTATTTTCCAGAACAAAGTAATAATAACTTCCCTATTCAACGTACCAGACATAACCAAACCTAAGTTTTATTTCGTTGTTTTAAATACTCGACGTTTGTGTAAGGAATCATTTGTCGTGCCGAGACGGCTGAAAGGGCAGCTGCATTTCTGTTCCAAAATAGTTGCACAGCCTAAGGATACTTTCACAAGATTCAGGGGTCGCCAAAAATAATTCCAGTCTTTGGTTTTGCTTAAAATTACGCTGATTTTTTTTTCTTCACCTGCCTTCCAAAGTAACTTCGCGAACACCGTGTCGCCCCCATTCGCAAAGTCTTTGTCTCGGATGAGGCATTAACCATGCCTGTATGACTCATAGATTGTTTTCAGCCACAAAAGTTGTTTTTGTGTTTTGGCTCAGTGAGCTTCTTTGAAAAGAAAGAAATGTTTGATCTGGAAACAATTGGTGGTGTAGGCGTTAACTAGCGCGTGACTTAGACGCTAAACAATAATCTTAAGAGATCTGCATTTGTTTTTGCTTCATAGCATTCAAGGCACCGGATGGAAATTCACGTGAAATTTCTAGACTTCCCGTGTAACTGCATTTAACGCCTTATATTGAGCCTCTGCAACGTTATACCAGACGAGGGGAGGCAACGCAAAGCAAGAACTGTGAGTTTTTATCTTTTTCCTTTTTGCGTTAGTTTGTTTTGTGTATGAAGCGCATAATATGGAATAATTGTTTCAGGATCACGCGACGCAACACAAGAAGACTCAGGAAATTCTTTCAGTTGTGGTAAGATTCAAACTTCCATTGTGTCTAAATAAGCTACATTCCATGAATAAAAAATAGACCGTCATAGGGGATGGCGCAGTACAGCTTACATTGCTAGTGCGTCACAACTTGATCAACGACTTCAGGTGTCTTACCGTCAAGAAAACAAAACAACAAACATCATTAACCTTCAAATTGTGACTCATAAGACGAAAATACAGGAACAAAAGTTTCCGGCTTACAAGAGGAAATTTACCCCATTTTTACTTTGCTAGGATCACCGTAAATAACGAACAGGACATCGAGGAAAAAAGGCGCACAATTAAGTCTAACCCCCATCATTTCCCTGAGGAGACAAATCAGGAGTACTTCACATTTTTTTGCTAACCGATTTAATTTTTCCACATGTTGTTTACGAGGGTTTATGAGCTTTAAAACTTGAATTTCTTCGAATATAAGGACGCAGATAAGGGCTCTCAAGTAGTCTGTCGTGTATTTTTCCACTAAATTTAGTTTTTCCTAAAGAAAGAACACTTTTTATGATAAAAAATTGAGAATTTTAGAAAGAATTTCCTTCATTTTACAGTCACCATCAGTGTTTCATTGTACACTGAACATTAAAAAGTCCAGTTAGGGCGTGGGGTATTGCTTTCCGTCTTCGCACGGAAAGCAAAATTTGACATTGGAAGTCGTTTTACAACGTTTTCCAACTGGCATACATGGAAAGTTTTGTAAAATGTGAGCGGCGATTCGTTAATTAACGACAAAGTTAAAAAGAAAAATTGAAGGGCAATATCTTGTGGGCCTTGTTTTTGCAACTGGTCAGAAATCTAGAAAGTACGAGCGATCTACAAAGGCCGAGAGAATTAATGGGCAAGGTCAGTAGTTATTACATCAGGGGAGGAAGCATTTAAATTTTATCTCAGCTTTTTTTGCATCTCTGTTGCAAAATTTTTAATTCGAAGTTAGGAATGATACTATTTGTCACTTGGTGAAGTATCATTTACCCTGTTACAACTGACCATAGAGTCTTTGTTGCGCAGTCGTAGCACCGGAAAGTGGCATATATACTCTCAAATAACTCAAATCGTTTGATTTTATATTTTACTGGACAAACGGACGGACTATTTTCTGTTCTTGGCCCTCATTGCCAGCACAAGAGCTTTGGAAAACCATCAAGGAGCAATCTTGATAGACTCTAAAACTTTAAAGGTATTTATTGGTAAATTTCAATTTTACCCTCTTTTTGTCATTGATACATAGCACTGATTTAAGTGCAACACTGAAAAAAAAAAGATGGGCCTTGAAAATCCGCCTAAAATTTTTCTTAAGATTAACAAGAAACATGTAAATATAGCATGTAAATTTGCCCGTTTAAGCCTTCCGTTAATGGCAGCGGCAAAGAGCGACAATTAACATTGATTTTACTTAACTTTGGTCCTTGAAAGAAGGACTAACATCCAGAACCACTCTGATTCAGTCGTCCTTATGTTTTACATGTCAAGAGCATATTTGACGCGAAATGTCTATTGAGCTCTCTAAAAACATTGCTTGTTTCACTTTCAGTGAAATCAAACTTCATTTAAAATGAAGAAATATAAAAGTTTTAAAATTTCGAGCATATAAAGGATTAAACAGATTTTATCGCTAATCTGAAAAGGAGCATTAAAGAAATTATAGTTCTGAAAGAAAAAATTGTTAAGAAACAGAAATTTAATTGTTGAAAATAATTAATCTAACTTTGTGGGCAATTTGAATAGTTATTGAAGATAAAGTAGACCAAATGCTAATCAAAATGGATGTAACTTAAAAACACGTTTTGGTCTTGATCGCATTTCTCAGTTCTAAAGATAATCGCTTTTTGCCGTTCTTTGGGAAGAAAACTCACAAAACTAATCGAACAAAAGCGTGCTGTACTGATAAGTAATTATTTGGGAGTGATACTGTTCAGATCTACCAACTTCACTTTTCAGGTATGCAGACGTTGCATTATTTTTTGGTACTTGGACGCGCTTCAAGAAAAGTTGGTAGAACTGAGCGAATCTGTTCCCTCGCGTAACAATAGGCATTGTTTCCTAGTAACCTCGATTCAGAGTTAACTTAAGCGAAGTTACTAGGCAGGCATTACAAAAAATACAGTGGACTTCCCGTAAAGTTCCGATAGTAACGACCTCCGGAAAGTAGCGCCCCCCCGAAATTAACGTCAATTTTTTGTGGCCGCTAGTAAATCCCTAAAGTAGCGACCCCCCCCCCCTCCAAAAGTAGCGAAGTTTTTAAATTGTATACCGTATGCCTTTAATTTGTCAATCAACAGTCAAAATTTTAATTTTAAATAATATGTTCGTGCAGCGTCTCAAATTGTTCACGATAAGGCACTTTAATTTACAGCAAAACTACCACCATTCGAGCTTGACATCAGTTCACTGATGTAGCTATGTAAAAACTAAACCGGTATAATTTCGTATTGACAACAGAAACGTTTCTTCAATTGAAATTGAAAACATCTCTATAGTTTTCGTCGATTAACATGAAAGTGTTTCTTCCAATTAAATAACAATGAGATACCGGTACGGGGTACAGAATAAAACGCAGCGGTGTGTCATGCAGTACAATCGAAGCAGTTTAGCTTTCCTCCTCTGAGTCAGTGAAGTACTCGATCTCCTCGATGTCGGCTTAGTCACACATGCGGTAGTCCGGTAAACCATCGATATTTATTTCACTGTCCCTGCTATCGGAAATGAGTAGTGAAATTCCGCATTTCACAAATGAACGGTTAACTGTCTCTTTCACCCGGCGCGAGGTCTCTTGCCATGCCGTACCCACCCATTTCGTGAAAAGCACACGCCGATCACCAGCAATCACTTTTCCCGACAAGTGTTCCGTGGCTAGTCTATCAATATTTTTCAAAATTCCGCATTAAATGTAACATGGAGTGGTTAAACCTTGCTCATTGCGCCTGGAGGTACAAGCCTCAATGTCATCTGGCACACTTGCGTCAGAATGGTGTCTACCCTCTCTGTTGTTTGAGCTCTATGCACATCATAGATAAGAAGTCTATCGCCTGGTTGACCAAACATGTTTGGCTTCTTCCACATATTTCTATGCCAGGAGACCATAATTTCCTCGTTGCACCACGCGTTCTCTTGGAACTTGACCACGACTCTTGGATCATACTGCCTCTTTTCTCTGTCTGGAACTCTTTGTCCTTTGCCCTTAAAGATCAACAAGGGTTTAAAGCAAGGCTCACCATCGGCAAATGTGGTCAATTGCACGACTTTTATCCTTTTTCTGCATAAATAGCTCTCTTGGTGTCGAGGTGTTTGATCCATATTAGTTACATCGCTTAATTCCCAGGGACCTACATTGCCTTCTTGGACACCCTTCAGCTCAGTTGTTTTAACTGTTGTCATTCTCCTGAGATATCTGTGAAATTGTGAATAGAGGTAAGTCGTGTTTCAGACTTTCTGTTCAGCATTTGTTGGGCGCCGCAAGCTGAAATTTCTGAGGAGAAAAACCTTTGACGATGGCACGTAGTGCAAGACTGCGCACAAACTTACGTTGAAAAAAAGTTTCATCTCAACAAATTCAAATTTGTATTGGCTTCTTCAATAGAACGTTTGAAAATAAAAGGTTCGTAAAAAATTGTTTTTAATTTTGAGCTTCAGATGATCTCAATCGGGATGGAACGGAAAAAACAATGTTGAAAGGTTTGAAACCTCGCGATTTAACTCAACGGGAACTTGCAGTAAACAGGCGCAGCAACATTTCCGAGTCGCCCATATTTGAGAGCTGATAGAGGCATTGCCTGACACAATGGCAAATTGGCCTATAGATTGGGACATCCTATTTGGCAAAATCGATATTTGCATATGAATAAATGATTAATTCTATGTGGCGTAGCTCAAGAACGAGAGAGCGAGGAAATGGCGATGAAGCAGGCGAAGGTTGGATTTGTTTCCTTTTTTTTATTAATGATTTAGCACCGTGTAGGAATATGCACAGAGAATTCATTTTTAAAGGTGAAATATTAAATATTCTGCGAGAAATCGTGGTAATGTATTTTCATCTTCGTCTACTTCGGCTTAAGGAAGTTCACGGGATTTCTTCTTCATAGTGCAGATATTTGCATTACTTTCTTTGGAAAACTCTTCTTGCTATAGAATGCAGTTAGTCAACGTGTTTAAGTCATTTTACTTATAACTTTTGGGCACGCTAAATTCACAACTTTGACAGGTGGACTTAAACGTGTACTGTCCGTCGAGATTATTATTCTGTTCAACTCTTGTTTACGGCTTGTAATATGTATCTTTTAACTTGCTAAAGGCGAGAAAAAGTAACTCACCATAGATTTTCCTGCGCCGTGTGAAAAATGCTCTGATAATTCATTTTAAAAGGGAGATCTTTTCGTTTCAGATATTGGGTTAGCGACCCAAGGCTTGATTTAGGAGTAATTTAAAGATAAATTGTGTTTATTTCAGAAACCATCCACTCTCTCTCCAATTTCGTGTAGGTGCTCGTTTTTGGCTAAAATAAGTCTTCGTATTTTTCGACCTTCTGTCAAAGATCAGTAAAACTACAAAGAATTTCTTTAATTTTTTTCATCATGATTCGCCTCCTCCGTTTCGTCTATTGAGACAGAACTAAGCGAAAGGATATTTACATATTCAACAGACGAGACGGTGAACTGTCACAGTTGGGAAATCGATACATCTGTCAGCGTCAACCAAGTGTTTTCTTGAAGAAATAATCGTTTACGCGTTTATGGATAACCTTATAGAATTTCCATTAACTGTGTTTAAAAGCTAAAATGAAAACATGAAACGACACCAGTGCCCCAAAAAAGAGATAGTTTAACTCTTACTCGGCTATTTTGACCCTAGGTTATTATAGGTAATCACATGATTTCGAGTGCAATTTGGGATAAATCAGCTCGATTAAATTTCCTTGTCTTCAACCGTTCTAGAAATAGATTATGACATTTTCGATTTTCATGCACTTACACACGCATGGCTTGCGGCGTGGTCGAATTTCTCGGCGTGATTTATATTGGAACAGAAATTACCAACTTGAGAGGCAAGAGAAAAGAGAAAGCGAAAGTCGTCATGTTGAATTTTGTTTTCTGTATCGCACAAAACGTTCTCCCTTCTCAGCGGAAATTTGCCGAAGTTCGACAATACCACAAATAAGACCAAGACTTACCTCACCTCTTGAATTTGGTGAAAATCGTTCAAAATCAAATTTGAAATTTGCATGATCATAGACAACAATGCGAACTAATCTTATATCTAAGCAGTGCATAATTTTTTCCATGTTGACATACTTATACTTTCATCTAAGCATGAGGGAGAGTTGGGAGAATTCGAGAAAGTTATGCGAACCCTTGACAGCGTCTTGGGTTTGCATAGCTTTTGAGGACGGAGGACGTGACTAAAATCTTAGCGTAGTCTCTGTTTTTCCCCATTTCCCCCCTAATTCAACGTAGTATATATATATATATATATCGATTGGTAATACTTCCCAAGACTCCGAATTGCATGCCACATTCAAATCAACTTTTCTTTCCCATTGATTAGGAAGGGATCAACAATTAGTATTTGCATACTTTACTAATATGTTTAGCGCTAAATTTTAAAATACAGCATTTCCAGCTATCCATACTCGAATTCTACAAAAGATTTTCGCACACTGTGTAACCATGACTATGTCGTTAAGTCGCGCGGGATCGTTCGGGACAGAGCCTGATACTGAGAAAATACCAGACCTCACATGAACGGTGGTAAAGTGATCTGATTGGTTGCTCCTATTTCACCGGTTTGGATTGGTTAATTGGCTATCTAAAGTTCGGTCGAATACAAAATAATTGATTCCACGCAGATACTAAGAAGGAAAGCAAATATCAGCTCCGGAGAGAAAGGTTAGATTCGTTTTTCGGTTTTGTGACGTTTAAGAACACAGAAAGCCATTTTCTTTGATATTTTTTTGTAACAGCTTAGTTTTTACTGTGAACACAAACGCGCATACGCAGCGGGCAAGTTTGGGCATGCCTTTTACTGTGATCTTGTCAAAAGTGCTTGTTGCATTGATCTTTAATTTCAGGAAGAGAATTCATCATCACACAGAAACAGAGGCTGGAATTTGACCATTAAATTTTTGAGAGCTATTTTATCGCTTAAGCACCTTGGAAATAGTTGAGGAACAGTCAAACCTTCTCTTCCTCACATCACTGGTGTCGTTTCAAGTAAGTGTATAGTAGCTCACGGAACTTTACTTTCTGCGTGGGTTTAAAAGTCTTATTTGTCGTTAACGATAACAATGTGCTCGACTGTCTGAGTTATCTATTTATCATTGGTTAAGTGAGTCGCATCTAGTCGCGAGCGATGAATTTCACGCGCTAAAATGTAATGAAATGCTCTAATAAATCGATTTCGTCATGGAGACGCTCAGTAGTTTAAGCGTTGCTAGAGGAAATCAAGTTGGATGTGTTGAGTTCCACACCTTGCCTTCTATAAAATCGTCATGCCAATAATTTTCTAGCTTTTAAAAACGATGGACGGAAATTTTTTGACTATCTGAAAACGGAAATGATGACTTATTCAAAACAGCATTCGATTACTGACAGACCTATACATTTCCATACAATAATTTTCAGGGCACAGCATTTACTCAGGCATAGCAGATAGCAAAGTAAAATGCATTCAAACATCGACATTCCCTGAAAAATTGAGAACAATTTTCATGAAACTTACCTATGACGTAATAAACTAATGAACAGAAAGTAAGTCATAGAAGGTATGGCCTACCTTGACACAACTTAGTAATCCTTTCCACATCATTTTAAAGTAAAATTACAAGTCTTTGCGCAGATAGAAGTTAAAATACTGTGCTGCACCACATTCGAAAAAAAGAAAATAAAAGAGATTTGTTGTTTACACAAATATATCTTGCATAACAATTCAACTTAATATGCTTCGTCTCTAGTAGTTTATGCATTGCATAACTAGATTTGGTGAGTTTCCACACCTCGCCTTCTACAAAATCGTTATGCCAATAATTTTCTCGATTTTAGCAACAATTGACGGAAATTATGTGACTATCTAAAAACGTAAGCGACGATTTATTCAAAAAACATTAATTCAACAATTTGTTGGGCACAGCATTTACTCAGGCATAGCAGGTGGCAAAGTAAGATGCATTCAAACATCGACATTCCCTACAAAATTGAGAACAATTTGCGTGAGATTTACCTATGACGTAGTAAACTAAAGAACAGAAAGTAAGTCATAGAATGTATGGTCTACCTTGACACAACTTAGTAATCCTTTCCACGTCATTAATTAAGAGGAATTTAGAACAAAATCATCATAAACTACGATCATAAGACTTCACGAAGATAAAACTTTAAATACTGCGCTGCTCTACATTTCGAAAAAATAAACATAACATAGTTTTGCTTTTAAAACAAGTAAATATTGCGTTACTATTCGACATATGCTTCGTCTCCGGTTTGCAACAACCATATCGAAAGATTTCATTCCCCATAGAAAAATAATTAAGAGAAAATTTAATCCGGATTGATTCCCTTTCACATGACGAGTAGCCGCAAGAGCAAGCCACACTTAAAAGTGTCGTAGCCCACGTTTTGAAGTACGTTTATTTACACCCCCAGAGTCCTGAGGAAAACAGAAATTTGTCGATTACAGACCCCGGAAAGTCGATTTAAGGCGCTTCTATTGGCGATTACGACATGACGTACAGGTACATAGCATAAACTAGTGATGAAATTAAAACTGTCCAGAGGCCACAAAAATAGCTGCATTGTTTCGGTCTCAAATATTTTCCTTGGAGACTGTGAAGAAGATTTTAAGGGTCATTTTGATCATTATGGCCGGGTCATATGTGTCTGGGGCGGTTCTGCCACGACGATTTTTGTGTCGCTACCGTGTTACCTTGTCTTCAGCCGTTCTAGAAATCGACCAGTGTGATTTTCGATTTTCATGGTGTAACAATGTCCATCAAAATCTTCTATGAGACCGCATACCCGCGCATGGCGTGTGGTAGCTCTATTTCCCTCGGCGTCATTTAATACTGAAACTGAAATTACCAACTCGATAAATCTGTTCAAAGCCGTCATGTCGATTTTTGTTTTCAATATCACGTTAAACGCCGTTCACTTATCAGCGAACAAGTATTGGAATTAATCGACAATACCACAATTAAGACAAACGTTACTCTTGAATAAAGTAAAAATCGTTCACACATAAAAATTTTTTCTCTCGTAGACCCATCAAACCCTGCGTATTAAGTTCACACATAAATCGCTCGCTAGAACACTCATTAACTAACACGAAAAGCACGACGAAGATGACCACAAAGTACATGCAGAAAAAGGAGAGACAATTCAAAAGTGACGAATTTGTCGATTCAAGCAAACCACATTCGTGTTTATACAGATGTACTAAACCCATGCCATAAAATTTATCATCATTCCGGGCTGTCAAAATAATTAAATCTAGTCTAACGTTAGAAAAATGTACAGCTTTGCACAAAAAAGAATATTAGAATAGTTTACATTAGTCCTCTGTTAATCACAGTCAGGAGCGGGGCTCCTGTCACAGTTTAAAAACATTTAACCAATCAACTGCTCGAGGAAGATATATATATATATATATATATATACACAAAGTGTAAAATTTTGACTTTTGTAAAACAGTGCTCAATACACAGAAGTAGAGCGATGTATGCATTGTGGGAGGAAAAACTGAAACTAAACTGTTAAATTTCGCGCTACATAAATTAGATTATATTGTATACAAGTGATGGTAAAGATTATTCTCACTAAATCCCCTGATGAGTGGGCAACCACGAAGCAGGTCTGTTCAGATGAACTCGTAGTTATTTGTCTTTTTCCTCCCACAATATGTATACATATCGATTGGTAATACTTCCAAAGACCCCAAAAAGCATGGAACATTCAAATCAATTTTTCATTCGCCTTGATTAGGAAGGGATCAACAACTAGTACATGCATAATTTACTAATATGTTTAACATTTAAAGTATAGCATTTCCAGCTATCCATTCTCGAATTTTACAAAACATTTCCCGCACACTGTGCAACCATGAGTATGTCATTAAGTCGCGCAGGATCAGTCGGGACAGAGCCCGATACTGAGAAAATACCGGACCTCACGTGAACGGTGTTAAGGCGACCTGATAGGTTGCTCTATTTCACAAGCTTCTAGTCGTTAACTGTCTGGCAAGCTAATGTTCGGTCGAATGAAAAATAATTGATTCCACGCAAGTACTGAAAAGGAAAGCAAGGTTCGATTCATTTTTGGTTTTGTGACGTTTAAGAGCACATTAATTGAGTATTTACCGCGAACACAAACGAGCATACGTAGCGGGCAAGTTTAGGCATGCCTTTTATTGCGATCTCGTCAAAAGTACTTGTTGAATAGATCATTAATTTCATGAAGAGAAATCATCATCACATGGAAACAGAGGCTGAAGTTTGATTATGAAATTAATCCGAGCCTTTTAATCGCTTAACCACCCTGAAAATAATCGAGGAACAGTAAAACTATCTCTTCTTCACATCACTGGTGTGACAATCGTTTCAAATAACGTTTTAACTCACGGAACTTTATTGTCTAGGGTTTGAACGTCTTGTAAGTCGTTAGGGATAAAAATGTGCTCGACTGTCTAAGTTATTAGTTGACTGAGCCGGATCTCGTCGCAAGCGATGAATCTCAGATACTCAAATGAAATGAAATACTTAAAAAAATCAATTTCCTCATGTAGGCGCTAAGTAGTTTATTCATTGCATAGGAGGAAATAAAGTTAGATGTGGTGAGTTTCCACACCTTGCCTTTCCAAATCGTTCTGCCAATAGAGTTCTAGCTGTTAGCAACGATTGACTGAGATTTCGTGACTATCTAAAAACGTATGCGACCTCAAAAAACATTCGGTCGTTGACAGATCTGTACATTTCCTTGCAACAATTTGCTGGGCACATCATTTACTCAAGCATAGCAGATAGCAAAGTAAAAAGCATTTGTACATCGAAATTCTTTGAGAAATTGAGAACAATTTGTGTGAAATTTACCTACGACGTAGTTAACTAATTAATGAACAGAAAGTTAGTCATAGAAGGTGTCATACGTTGTATCAAGGTAGGCCAGTTCCACGTCATTGATTAAGCAGAATTCAAAACAAAATCCTTCATCGTAAACTAAAATCACAAGTCTTCACGAAGAAAAAGTTCAAATACTCTGCTGCAATACATTTCAAAAAATAATAATTAAATAGTTTTGCTTTTTAAATTAATAAATCTTGCGTTACGATTCAACTTAAAATGCTTCGTCTCCAGTTTGCAATAACCATATCGAAAGATTTCATTCGCCACAGAATAGAAATTAAGAGGAAATTTAATTGGGATTGATTCCCTTTCACATGACGAGTAGTCGCCAAAGTTAAAAGTGTCGCAGTACACGTTTCGAAGTACGTCCATTTACACCTCCAGTCTTGATTATTTTGGTTTGGAGACTGTGAAGGAGAATATTATGATCCTTCTCATGATTATGGACGGGTCAAACGTGTCTCGGCCGGTTCTGCCACGATGAGTTTTGCTACTCTTCCATTGTCATCAGTCTTTCCAGATCTAGGTCATGTAATTTTCGATTTTCATGTTGTAATAATGTCCATCAAAAGCCCCTTTGAAGTCCACTGACTGTAGGGCTAGTAGGCCTACCGCATACACGCGCATAGCATGTGGTAGGCTCTATTTCCTTCGGCGTCATTTAATACTGAAACTGAAATTACCAACTTGAAAAATTTGTTAAAGCCGTCAGGTCGAGTTTTGTTTATCACATTAAACGCCGTTCACTTGTTAGCGAACAAGCACTGAGGGTAATCAAAAATACCACAAATAAGACAAACGCTATACTTGAATAAGGTAAAAATCGTTCAAAATCAATTTGGAATTCGTATGATCACAGACAACAACGCTGACTAATCTTATATTCAAATATAACTTGTGACAAAATCAACAAACTCAGCAAAGCAGTGACGCAGGTTCATTTACGAGATAAATGAAATATTTTAACTCTGGGAATACTAAATATAACACGAAAAGCGTATTTATCACAAGATAAATTAAAGGTTGGCTTACTTGCTTACTTCCTTGATAGTTCTTGAAGTTTTGCATTTCATATTCTCAGCTTGGCCCAAATTAAATGTAGGCCACCAAAATCTGCATGCTCCCAAGAAGACCTAACGTCCGAGAAGACTACATTCATTACCGATCTTTCAGGACTACTTGTGAAAGCCCTAACAATAATTCTTGTATAATGTATCAAAGCTCGCCAAATAGTGTAGTGGATCTTAATCCGTAGGATCAATACATATGGCGTTACTATACTTTTGCCAATGGAACTGGAGCTCAGTCTCCCTAACGGTAACTCTTCACACAAATGTTAAAAGATTATTTAACTTTAACACTCTTGACTTAAAAATGGTGGACCTGGAATCCTTTTCATGATTCTCAAATATTAATAAAAGCTAAGCTCGACATGTAATACCTCGCATTATCCGGCGATGAACATCATTTTCTAGGAACGAAATGAAATGTTTAAAAATCGTGCGGGTTATAAGTTGTCTTAAACGGCGTTGCGTGACACTAATCCCTACTTGAAATAAATTATCTATGTAGAAGCTTACGCATCGACTTGGTTAGTGAGTTGCTTCTTATCACCTTTGCTGAATTACTAAACACAAACTTAATTTCAGGCCTTAAGCCAAGGAAGAGGACGAATTTCTAAGGAGAGAAACTGACCTATGAGTATGGCCCGTAGTGCAAGATTGCGCGAAAAATTACGTAATAAATAATAATTCCATTTAAACAATTTGAAATTTGTATTGGCTTCTTCAATACAACTTTTGAAAATGAAAATTTCGTAAGAAGATTTAAAACGAGTAAATTAAAAGTCTATCACCCAAAAATAAAGGCCAGAGGTCATGAAAATAGGAACGCTACTAGTGCGCGACAAACGAACTGAAAATTTATCATCCCTTTATTTTTGGATTTCTTTCATTTTTCTGTTTCATTCAAACACATTACACTCGTGTCTCGCATTATTACCGGAATGTAGCATTAATTCTTGTCTTACCCAGGCGTATCGTTCACTCCAAAGCTAATTTTGTGACTCTTAAGAACTACACTCTACTTCTTTTTTTCGGAAATATGTACTGTTAAGAATATTTACTTTTTATTTTGAAAGGTTTGAAACCTCGCGGTTAAACTCGACGGGAACTTGCAGCTACACATGCCGTGTTCAGGATACGCGGTCGCACGTACTTAAGGGCTTTTACCATAGCAGCTTGGCTTAAGAGCGAAAGAGGAAGGAAAACGTCGATGAAGCAGACGAAGGTTGGATTTGTTCCCTTCGTGTTATTAGTGATTAAGCACCTTGTAGGAAGATGCACAGATAATTTACACTAGTTAATAATATACAAGCAAAAAATGACTCTATTTTCCTTTCTAGTTCAAACTTTTAAAATCTCCCTTGAAAAATTAACCGTCTGTACTCTTTCTCCGTTAGATATCAGTCGACAGCAGTAAACATCAAATGAAAGCTATCACGCTCGTAATCTTCCCCGTCTTTCGTATGAACTGTTGCATTAAACACCTCGAAACATTAGTTTCTCCATCTACTTTAAAATACACTGAATTTATTAAAGTGAGAAAGATGGAAATTCGTCTCACAAATTTCTCTTTGTCTCGAATTGTTAGCGGTCGACGTGGGTCGAGTATTACCGGGATGTGGCATTCTGCGTCTCCATGAGGTCAAAAGACCCGAGCCTACAGGTGGGATGCGTTACTGTGCACCCAAAATCACTCAGGGTGAGTAATATTGTAGGCTATCACTTGTCATATCTGTATGGAATTATACACTTATAAACATTACCATACTTAAAGAGCATTATCGGAAAAAAGAAACCTGTGTTGTAGAACAACTGTGGTTGTGATTTTTCCGACGTTATCCTGGTACCACTTTGGACAGAATAATGCGGCGGGTAAACCATTCCTTTCACAGACTAACTTCCTATAACCCCTCGGCAGATCTTGAGTGCTGGGTACAATGGATTTCCACCCGGAACCCCAAACAAGGAAGAAAACTGGAGAAAAGGTACAAAAGATGATCTTGTCGTCCACGCGGAGGCCAACGCTGTGCTCCTGGCAGGCCAAGCTGATCTTGAAGGTTCAATTGCCTTCGTTACAATGTATCCCTGTCGGGAGTGTGCGAAAATGTTGATAACGGTGAGTGATGTCGAGAACATTCGTATAACTTAATGTAGTGAAACCTGTGTGAGACTGGGCCCATAGGCGAGAGAATTTGCATCTTGAAACCTGTATTAAATGGATGGCTTGATGAGAATTTTGAGTGTTGTCTTCATTTCATGCGTTAAATTAACTTCATACTTTTTCAGATCTTTTTAAAATGGCCTTTCGGAAGGTTCCTAATCGTTCACTCTGTTCTGTTAGGGATCGAGTTAAAAATTAGCCACTATTACACGATTTTGAAAATTTTCTTATGCTTGTGCGCGCCAGCGAGAGTTCGTGAATCACCGATTTTAAAAGGGATTACTGTACAGCCCCCTCTACCTTGCCAATTTCAAGTTCCTCCTATTGGAAGGCTGAGTAGGATGACTTTTATGCCTTGTTTCCAAAGCCAGTAACGTTCCAAATCAAGAAGTTGAAAATGGAAGTTGAGTTAGTTTACCTAAGCCCACATAGACCCACTGTCAGATGTATGTTTACTACCTGTATGTCTTAGGGTGCAAACGTGTGTCCTTTTATACTAGGGATTAAATGTTTGTTTTAGCACGCAGTCGTTTCATTTGGTTTTCCTCAGTGTGGAAGTGATAATTCATTGATGACCATCTCTTGTTCCATCTGTAGAAGGGTGTCCGTAAGGTTTATTATCTTTCATTAAAAAAAAAATACCAAGCGGATTCAACTGCCATCTTTAAAGAAGCCGGAGTCGAGGTCGTGTAAGTATTAGACTGAAATCATCTCTGATAACACTTTGCACATATTTGTGGTAAAAACATTCTCAAATAAATATCATAATGGTGAATGAACAAAAAGAAACAAGCCAATGCACCATTACTTCCTATGATATGGGTTTGAACTTCAGAAGTCAGTTCCACAGTTCGAAAGAATATGCCACGCGAAAGAATAAAAACAACACTAAGTAACCAAATAACTGTGAATTTAGCAAGTGGAAATTACACCAGGTGGCTCTTCTTGTCAATTGTTTCCTGATCGATTTGGAATTTGGAATGTTGGTTTATGTAAAGAAAGGAGAACCTTAGGACCCGGAGAAAAACCCATCGGAGCAAGGACAAAAACCAACAACAAACTCAACCCACATCTACAATGATTGAGCGAAAAGTTATAAGCTTAAGCAAAACTGTTAGTGTTTTACGTATTCATTTTTGTATACCGGTTTTTCCTCGAGTAAGCACCCACACTCTAAAAACCGCCCTACCCCAAATACGCGCCCACCCCTAAGCAGCTAGGCCATAATGTCAAACAAGTGCCCTCCCCCCTCCCCCTCTCGAATGAGTGCTCCCCCTCCTCCTTCACTTTGTTGAATAGAAGGAATACAAGAAAAACCTGTGTTTATTGCCACTTTATCTACAATTTTTTAATCTTCAACTAGAGCGGAATCAGTACGGTAGAATATATATTTTCGTTTTCGTTATTTTTATCTCTATGTACTCGCGGAGTTTTTCTTTTGAATTGTTGTGCTATCGCTGTGCTAACCTTATAAGTGTCCCCCTCGATTAAGCGCCCTCCTCCCAGTAAGCGCCCCCGCCCCACTTCTTTTTCGCTAAAGTTTTAAATAAACACCCGAGCGCCTATTCGAGGAAACACGGTTTGTATCTATTATCAATATCTATTTTATTCGGTTTTGCTGCTGTTGCGGCAAACGAACATCAAGGCTCGATGAAATGCCAAGAAAATCGCGACCGGAGAAAAATGCCAACCAAATCCAGGGGATATGCTACAGGGACATAACTTTAATCAATCTCTTAAAATATCAGTCCCTATACGCCGGTGGCTTGAAATCACACTTTATAAATTAACTTTGTATGCACGCCGAACATGAACAGTGAATAATGAGACTATCTGAAGGAATCAAATGGCACAAAGGCCAACTGTAACGCAAAAGTCACGCAAGTTTGAAAGTCACGCATTTACAGCTGCAATGATTTTTCTAGACTTACGTATAAGCAGTAAAGGAGTGTTGAGACTCAACTGACTTTCCTCTGTTCACAAATTTGCAACCAATTTTCGGTTTGTTTGTCTTTTCAGCCACGTGCATTGAGGGGAGAAAACAGTTTTCCCTTAATTTACTTACTGCCTCTGCATCTTTTTACCATATTTACATTCACCTTTTAGTTAATTAACAGCAGAATCTGATTGATCTACTTAAGGCCTATAAAGCGAGGTGAGGATACAACGCTGGAAGACTATGGGAACTACCTGACCAAGAAGGTTGGCTTCGTACTGGAACAGAACAGGACACGGGGTGAACCAAATGGTGCCTATAAAGCCTTGTGGGATGGCACGGAAGAATTAAGGAGCAGCGATTTACAAAGTCCATGGCGGAGAAAGTTAATGGGCAAGGTCAGTAATTTTTACGTCAGTGGGACAAAGCATTTAAACTTTATCGCATTTTTTTTCTGCATCTCTTCTGCCAGATTTTTAATTTGAAGCTAGGTATGTCACTATTTTTTCAGTTGGTGAAATATCATTAACCCTGTCATAACTCACCATAGAGTCTTTGTTACGTAGTCTTAGCATCGGAAAGTGGCTTATAAAATAATACTCTTGAATAATTCAAATCGTTTGATTCTAGATCTTACTGGACAAATGGACAGACTATTTCCTGTTCTTGGCCCTCATTGCCAGCACAAGAGCTTTGAAAAACCCTCAAGGAGCAATCTTGATAGATTCTAAAACCTTAAAGGTATGTATTGGCAAATTTCAACGTTAGCAACATCGATACATAAAGGACCCTACAGACATTTAGAACAGATCGCAGCAAAAACGTAGCACTGCTTTAAGCGAAACACTGAGGAAAAAAGATGAACCTTGAATATCCAGCTCAAATTTATCTTAAGATTGACAAGGAACATATAACTGTAGCACGTAAATTTGCAAACAACAAAAAAAAAAATGCGAGTTTAAACCTTAAGTTAAAGGCAACGGCAAAGGGCGACAATTAACATGGATTTTACTTAATTTTTGTATGTAAAATAAAAAAGGAATTCTCACGTTTATATTTGGTACTAAACTCATTACTCAAGTATTAAAACGATTGGAGGCGGAGGGCAATAATTCCTGTTTTGTCGTTTTCCGTGTGCCCTAACTGCTATGCCAAACTTTCCTATTATAAAATATACAAGACTACCGTCCACGAAATTGTGCATCCCGGTAACCAAAAGTCAGGAAGACGATTCAAATCGTGTCTGCCATATCCCACAGACCATAAACCAACTCACAATAAATAGAAATAATTGAGGACATTTCTCAAAGTAATGAAATTTATAGAAACGAAACAAAGCCCATCGCATAATTGCTTGGAGGAATAATACAAGTCAAATTCCTTTCTAAATAAAGTTTCTAATTAATTAATTCAGACACATCGTAATAATAAAATATTTCCTGAACTAGAAGAACTGGTATTGTTGCATCTCAGAAGCCTGATCGAGAACCTTTCAATTTGAGTGTTATTTTGCATTTAGGAATCTTGTCGGCTTCTTGCAATAATCTGGGATTCTGTGTTCTGGTTATGGTTAATTATATGTACTAAGCATGAGGCTTACCTATCAGTATCCACGTTACATGTAAAACCAATCTTTCCTTTAAACTTTCAGATATCGGCGTTATCGTACAACGGATATCCGGGAAGTGTCAGCAACAAAAGCCCTGAGTGGATGGAAGTGTCTGCGTTAACAAAAGCTATTTGTCTTCGATTCAGCGAAGGACGCGATTTTATCGCATTTTCAACTCACTTCCCAAACCTTCATGAAGTGAAAAATCTTGCGCAGGTGAGAATCACACGAGGAAGGCTAAAGTTTTAAGAATTACTCCGTCAAGTTGTGATAGCAATTTTATGAGGAAGTATCATTTCTTCAACGGTACAATATTTCTGTAAAGCAATTGTCTTGATTAATACCCTTAAATTGTCAAGGTCTCCACATAGCTCCACCAGTGGTTAATTTCGTTTCAAGCACCCTAACGTTAGCTGATCCAAATGACTATGCTTGAACCCAATCAATTCCGCAGGCATCCACGCCAAGTTTCTTTAGATCATCTCTCTTCATCTTTCTCCATTTCTTTCCGAAGGCCTCTCTTTGGAAAACCCATGATCATTCAAATGGGCATCCTCCTTGTGCCTTGAAAAGAGTTCGACGTTACATTATTCAAGCTCCAACATGTTTGACTAAGCTTCGACCATCTCTTTGCTACTTTTGCATACAGGCCCAGGTAAAGACGTTGTACTTTATGTGGCCTAAGACTCTTGAAGGAGACGGCGAAAAGGCACTGCAAATTATGAAAGACGCTGGAATGAAAGTCGTGTAAGTAACAAATCGGTTGCCATGTGATAATCAAGAACGAGTTTGTTTGTTGGATGTAAATCTTTTCTGGCTCTAATAAATTACTTGAAGTATGAAAATGAACTAGTTCAATTTTACATTTAAAGGCCAATGGATGTTCCTAATTTGGTAAAACTAGGAGAGGCCATAAAAAACACCATTGAAGGTCTGCAGGAGGCAGAGAAAGGGCTTTCTTCTGGTGATTGGCCAAGTGACACTTGGACCGAGTACGACTTACAACCGGAACAGCACCATTGGAGGCCTTGAGAAGGCAAAGGAAGCTAAGGGCTTCCCTTCAGTGATTGGCCAAGTTATTATCGGACCGAGTACTATATAAAACCAGAGCGACTCTAATCCACCTTTTAGGCTTTAGATTTCCCATCTAGTGTCGTGTGACTTTCGATTTAAACCAACCCCGAAAGTTCAAACTTGTAGTCGAGCTCGCAGCACAGAAGTCCAAACTTCGGCTTTGGCAATTTTTCTTAAATAACTTCCCACTTTCAAGCACTTCCCACTTTCAAAATTGGCATCTTTATTTTATCAGTTATTTGATTGTTTATCAAGCAAGTAGTTATTTCGCGGCCGTTGAAGTAGATGTGAAGAATGTGACAGGAAGAGTTGCGGCATGGAATAATCGAACTAGTTCTGCGTACAGTAATGTATCTGATCAGGTATACTCAGGGTGTTAAGTGCGTAGATTGTCAAATCCGTCCGACAGGAAATTAATGCCCACGAATTGCTGTAGAACGTAAGTAAGCATAGATTCCCAGAAATAAAACCGATTTCAACTTTATGAACTTGTACGATTTCAGTTGTTAAGTAAGTGTATACTTAATCATAATGGTTACGAAAGCGAAGTGCTTATGGCACCTGCAAAAACGATTCACGATACCCCAACTCCTGAGTAAGAAACGCTAACGGCGACCCGGTCAAGTTTTTCCATTTGCCGGGAGCAAATTAGGCAAAAGGAGAAAAGGCAAAGGTGGATAGGGTCATGTCACCGAGTTGACTCGTTCGTGTGCACGAAGGACAGCTACGTTTGTAGTCTACATTTTGTCGGTGAAAATGGTCCAACAGAAGAGGATCCTGATCCCATATCTGCTGTAGCTAGTAAAGAAAGGGTCAGTTAATTCAGTCATTCTTTTATATCATTGTTTTTTCTATGGAATAGAAGAATAAATTAGCTGCTGAACTGTAGAACTGATGGTCTGTGAACTACAGCTTTTTAGAGATGAGGAAACCTCATTCTGATCAGTCTAATTTAAAGAAATTGATGGCAACATATCAGTATAACTGTCATGGAAATCTCTAGCTGGGTGACCTTATAATTTTCTTTGTGTGGAGACCAGAGCTCTGAAAAATTTTAAAAAGTAAAAAATTACAAATTAATCATTTTAAATCATGACCAGAAAAAAAGCTACATACCAGGAAAAACAGCGGTGGAAACTAAGTTATTCATCATGAAAAGGAGAATCTGTTGAGACAAAAACATCTCAAACTTGGAACACAAGTTTTAGTCATAAAGCTTGCATTGAGAGGCACGTCAACAGCAAAGACACCTTGTTTTGTCCACACGACTAAGATATTCAAGGACAACTCACTCACAAACATTTGAAGCTGAAGTTGGAAGTAGTCATGTGAAGAGGGCTTTAAGGCAAACACCTTTTCGCTCACAACGCCACCAATTTCAGGGATAAGGAAAGCTTCTTTAGGGCCCATATCTCTGTGTTTCCAGGGGCATTTGTATTCTAAAACTTTGTTTGGACAACCATTAGAGCACTGACATTTTTTTGATGTTGTCCACACTGGCATTAAGAAAGGCTTTGACTTTGAAATTAGAAAGCCTTTTGAGACCAGTTCCAGTTAGTGGTGGGTATGGCTGGCAACTGCTGATATGTTCCACGCGCACTCTCCTCATGAAATAATTCCCACTCTCTAGAATTCTAGGATCTAGTGGTTCCTCCTCCTGATTTTGACCACAACTGTGGGTTGATTTGGGTTGCACAGTACCTTATATGAAATTTTTGACATCTTTTTCATTTTTTTTAATGGCTTTTTGCCTGGTGAGGACTCTTTTACACTTTGAAGCTGTTATGAAACCAGCCTTGTGAATATACGATTCCTCACATTGCCACTGAATTGAGGTTGTGCTTTCTACATAATCTCTTTCTGCATCACTGAAGGATAACAACCTCAACGCATCTTTGCTAGAGATGTTGGGATGGCCTTTCACAATCTCTTGTATTTTGGTATTCGTGATACCAGTCTTAGCCTTATTAAAAGGCCCACTGTGCAGTTCTGAGTGAGCTTCGGAAGTGAAGTGGAGTTTTTTGATTAGGGGCAAGATAACTGCAGGTGCATCAGTTTTTAACAAGCACATCTTTTTGGGAATTGACGGACATATTCCTCATCTTTTGGATTCCTGTCTTTCGAAGCGGGAATATCCCTTTCAATATACTGGAGAGAAGTGTGTTTACGTTTCCTTTTTAGGGAGAGGGTTTTTTAATGTTTTTAAAAATTATTATAACCAGGTCCTTCACTCTGCACAGTTTAGTATTTGCTCTAAGTTTTGAAACCCAGATACATAGGCCACTGGTTACACTATTTTCACCTCGAATGTTTTAATAAATCTTCTAAGGAATACATGGCAGCTGAAATGTGCTTGCATCCCCCATCTAGACCACCTTTACATTTGCATTTAGCTTGAAGGACACTGCTCCGATTTGCACCTCTGCTCTCAACAATAAATCAGAGAACGTAGTATTCCCTTCCCTTGTCCGTTTTTACTTCCATAAAAATGCGCACACTGATTACGTATACATGAATTCCCTCCTGTCTCAAATGAGAAGTTAGTAAAGATTCCACGTATCCATCATCGAAAAGTCGACTGGATATTCTGATCCTATTGGAGATCTTTTTCTTTCAAAAAGTCCCCGATTCCTTCAGTGATATTCACGGATTCCAGCTTCATCGAAGGATAGAGTTGGAAAGTCAGGCGGTGGAATTTAAGCCCATGTAAACAACTCCCTTAAGGCAAAAAGACGCGGAGACCTCGAGGCAAACGACGTTGAAATTTCGGTCAGCAGAAGACAAGAAGCTCGGGAAAAACATCGAAAATGTGTATCTTCTACACAAGGAACTTTTTTTTTTACTAGGAGATATCATCATCGACTACTTATGCAATAAGAAGTTTGGAAAACAACCATTCATAAAGCACTTCACAACCTGAGTTATTCCCAAATTGTTAGAGTTATCATCTAGCCATTGTCCAAAACCTACCACGATCAGATTTGGTCAAGACAGGCGCTAAACAATTACTGCATCGACACTCAGACATTCCCAACAAAGTGGAAAGTCGGTAAAGTGACAAGGAAGTCATGATGACAAGAATAACTATCGACCGATAACTGCGCTTCCGATACTTTCTAAACTATTTGAGAAGCACATTTGTACGACTTCCTTGGAGAAAATTCCACTCCACTGCGACAGCCCTCATTCGACAAATCGACCAACTGCTCCTTGACTTAGACAAAAACAGAGCAACGGGGCGATTATTTGTTGACTACAAGAAAGCATTTGATCTCATAGACCATGATCTCCTTCTGACGAAACTGAATGTCTCTGGGATATGTGGTCATGAACTAGACTTACTACGCAAGTATCTGAGTGGATGCAAACAGTACATAGTCATTGACGGATGTCTGAAATACCTGATCAGATAAATCACTGTACGCAGAACTAGTTGTTTAATTTTGAGCGAAGAAACGCTTCTTGAAAGTGGGAAGTTACTTAAGAAAAATTGCCAAAGCCGAAGTTTGGACTTATGTGCTGCGAGCTCGACTCCATTTCCGAACTTTCGTGGTTTGTTTACATAGAAAGTCATGTGACACTACACATGAAATCTAAAGCCTAGAAGGTGAATTGTCGTCATTCTGTGATCATCACTGCTTTGAGGTTTTTATTTTCTCAAAAAGTGAAAGGTTCACATTTGTGGGTGTTTTCAAATCATGGGGGTTATCTCTAGTTCAAGCCTTTTCTTCGGTTTGTTTGTTACCACCCCCCAACAAAATTATCGAACACCAGCCCGAATTGAGCTCTAATAGGGCAGTGTATGCGTCATGCTCGTAATTGAATAATGTAAAAGGACAGTTTAAGGGACAGTTAACACGTCAACTGTTGTTGTTGTTGTTGTTGTTTTTAATGATGACGTATAAAAGATGTCTAGCTTCTTTCTCAAATTTTGTCATAGTTTTGATTAAGTGGTAACAGGACTTCGTGTCGTCCAATTCTGTCTGTATTCATACTCGTGATCAACAAATCCGGTCATGATAAAACGCAGACTGCAGACCGCGCAGACCGCGCAGACCGCGCAGACCGCGCAGACCGCGCAGACCGCGCAGACCGCGCAGACCGTGCAGACCATGCAGACCACGCTTCGTTCGCTGAAGAATTTCGACTGTTACAGATTGCGAGACACTGACGAATCCATTCATGACCTATCACGCAATCGACTTCGATAGGTATCCAATTTCGCCAGGATTGTGTGTGTGTTTATTGGTATTGTAAACAGTTATAAACAATAAACGAGTACCTTTTTGATTTGTGCTCCCGCTCCCTGCCCTCAGATAGATCCCGCTTCCAGCCCTTTCCCACCCCCGAAAAAAAGCAAACAAAAAAAAATTGCACGGGCCGTCTGCAGTCTGCGTTTTATCATGACTGTAACAAATCGGACTCCCATTTCGCGGTCGTCCGCTTTTGTAATCACTCGTATGATCACAGACCGAATTGGACTCCACTCGGACCTATTACGGAGCTATTGACTTGGGATGAGATTTCCTGCAAAATTAGTTTAAATGTTTTCTCTTAGCGCTTTGGAATGGGGAGGGGTTTATATTTGTGTTTAAGCTCGTAACGTCTATTGAAACAATTATCACTTCTTTCGGAGCTTTGTTTTTTCTATGAAGTTGATGAAGTCTGTTGTGTCTTTGAGATATGACATCTGTTGTTGTGCGATCGGCTGAAGAATTTTATTTAAGCAACAGAATAGCTTTTCTGTTGATCCATTCTTAGGTGGAGTTTTTGTGTCTCATTTATGAAGACCGTAAACACACCGAGGAACGACCATTTTTTTAAGACGGCTAAATATGCGTGAAGCAAGTCTTTGCCTTTCTCCTTAGTTAGAGTACATCATTATTATTGTAAAGGCTATAATTTTTTAATCAGTTGGCGGTGAACTGGTTTAACTAGGCGGGATCAGGATAAAAAATTTTACAGCGACGGGATCTCGTCAAACACATACATCTTGTAGTGAGCGCCTGCAGGTCCCATTAATCATGATGTGGTCAATCTGGTGGCTGGTCTTGCCTTGTGGAGAATGCCATGTCAACCTGTGGATCTCCTTGTCCTGGAAAATAATAGTAGTTCTTTAAAATAGGATCAATACGTGCATCACATGGCTTGTGAGAAACACTATTAATTTTTTCTTCAAATCTCCTTTATCTCCTTTTTTTTTTGTTGTTGATTTTTTTCTCCTTCGGAAGTACAACAGGGCGATTAAAGGCATCTAAGATTATCGCGTGAGTCGAAGCTAATGAAACGTGTTGATCAAGGCACATGATATTCAAAGTAAGAATTGAAAATGCTTCGATACCAGTCTAAGAAATGTTTTGCCGATGTTTGCACTTGAAAATCGTCAACTATTTCGATGTCACACTTAATCTCAACAATGGAAAGTACTGCCCTTACAGAAAGCCTAACAACCAGCCGCTATACATTAATGCAAAGTCAAACCACCCTCCCAACATAATCAAACAACTACCTGACTCTATCAGCCGTAGAATATCTGATAACTCCTGCAACGAAGACGAATTCAACAAGGCTATGACGGAATACGACACTGCCCTGAAATCCAGCGGACATACGAAAACTCTAACCCACAACAAGCACAGACAGACCACCCGACCCAGAAGAACCCTACAAAGAAACATTATCTGGTACAACCCTCCTTTTAGTAACAACGTACAAACAAACATCGGCAAAACATTTCTTAGACTGATATCGAAGCAATTTCTAAAACATCACGAATACCATAGTTTATACAACAAGAACAACGTAAAGGTCAGCTACAGTTGTATGGAGAACATGGGATCGATCATTAACAAACATAACAAGAAAGTACTATCTAACAACAACAACCACGACAACAACGAAAGCCTTTGCAACTGCAGATCTAAAGAAGAGTGCCCGCTCAACAACAATTGTCTGTCTTCCAGCATTATCTACAACGCACAAATCACCACTACAGATAACAAAACGACCCCTAAGAACTACATTGGACTGACTAAAGGAACTTTTAAACAAAGATTTAATCAACACAAGGTTACATTCCGACACAGAAAATACACTAACGGCACTGAACTATCCAAATACATCTGGCAACTGAAGGACAACTCTGTAAACTTCAACATAAAATGGTCCATTATTACAAGAGCTAGGCCCTACAACAACACGACGAAAAGATGCGACCTTTGCCTGACCGAAAAACTCATGATTATTAAGTCCAACAGCAACAACTTGCTGAAATAAAAGATCCGAACTTATATCGGTTTACACACTCGTGTATTGAGCACTTTCCGACAGCATTTGCTACAATTTCCCAAAACTATATATATATATATATATATATATATATATATATATATATATATATATATATATATGTATATATATCTGAAGGTTGAACTAATCAATACGACATAACTTTGTGTCTGAGTTTCACGCTTACGCAATCATCAGACACATCTGTTTGATGATCGCGTAAACGTAAAACTCAGAGTTGCGGTATAGTGCTCGATGCGTTCGCAGAGCGTGTTATATCTGAAAGTTGGACAAATCAATAAGACATAACTTTTCTGTGACTCTGAGTTTCACGCTTACGCGATCATAAGACAGATTTTAATAAAGAGCATACCTCACTTAGGTTAAATATATATACAGTAGTAAGTTAATTAATTATCATCTAACAAAGGAACATTCGACAAGGCCAAGCCTCTCCACGAAAAAGCCCTCAGATCAAGTGGATTCAACGCAAACCTTCAGTACTACAAGAAAAACACAACCACACCCACGAAAAGAAATAGAAAACGAAACATCATCTGGTTTAACCCCCTATAAAACAAAAATGTCCAAACCAACGTAGCTAAAACCTTCCTCAACCTGATAAAGAAACACTTCCCACCAAACCACAATTTGCACCCCGTCTTTAACAAGAACAACGTGAAAGTCAGCTACAGCTGCATGCCGAACATGAGCAGAATCATCAACAACCACGACAAGAACATCCTTACCAACAACAACACCGCACCGCAAAACGGATGCAACTGCAGAAAAAAAGACCAATGCTCGCTAGACAACGACTGCCTCACCACCAGTGTAATCTACAAAGCCAACGTAACCACAGACAAAGACGACACAGGAAAGAAATACATCGGACTAACTGAAGGAACATTCAAACAACGATATATGCAACATTAACTATCATTCCGTGACAGAAAATCCGCCAACTGCATCGAACTAGCAAAACACATCTGGAAACTCAAGGACAACAATGAAAACTACAAAATAAGCTGGTCTATCATCTCTTCAGCAAGCGCCTACAACAATATTTCCAAACGATGTAACCTCTGCCTAACTGAAAAACTCAACATTATTAAAGCCGACAAAGCAAGCATATATCAATAGAAATTCTATGTTTCGGTTTTTCCGTATTACAGTGGTCGATACATAGAAGTAGAGCGTGATATGGATTGAGTTAGGGAAAAATAAAACGTAGTTTCTTTGTTTTTCTCCATTTTTCCCCTAACTCAATTCAATTTATATATATATATATATATATATATATATATATATCTCGATTGGTAATACTTCCCAAGACTCCGAAATGCGTGGCACATTCCAATCGAATTTTCTTTCCCTTTGATTAGGAAGGGATCAACAATTAGTATTTGCATAATGTACTAATATGTTTAACACTAAATTTTAAAGTATAGCATTTCCAGCTATCCATACTCGAATTCTACAAAAGATTTTCGCACACTGTGTAACCATGACTATGTAACCATGACTCTAATCACGCGGGATCATTCGGGACAGAGCCTGATACTGAGAAAATGCCAGACTTCTTATGCATGGTGGTAAAGTGATCTGATTGGTTGCTCCTATTTCACCGGCTTGGATTGGTTAATTGGTTATCTAAGGTTCGGTCGATAAAAAAAAGGAAAGGAAATATCAGCTCAGGAGAGAAAGGTTAGATTCGTTTTTCGGTTTTGTGACGTTTAAGAACACACAAAGTCATTTCCTTTGGTATTTTTTTGTAACAGCTTAGTTTTTACTGTGAACACAAAGGAGCATACGCAGCGGGCAAGTTTGGGCATGCCTTTTACTGTGATCTTGTCAAAAGTGCTTGTTGCATTGATCTTTAATTTCAGGAAGAGAATTCATCATCACACAGAAACAGAGGGTGGAATTTGACCATTAAATTTTTGAGAGCTATTTTATCGCTTAAGCACCTTGGAAATAGTCGAGGAACAGTCAAACCTTCTCTTCCTCACATCACTGGTGTCGTTTCAAGTAAGTGTATAGTAGCTCACGGAACTTTACTTTCTGCGTGGGTTTAAAAGTCTTATTTGTCGTTAACGATAACAATGTGCTCGACTGTCTGAGTTATCTATTTATCATTGGTTAAGTGAGCCGCATCTAATCGCGAGCGATGAATTTCAGGCGCTAAAATGTAATGAAATGCTCTAATAAATCGATTTCGTCATGGAGACGCTCAGTAGTTTAAGCGTTGCTAGAGGAAATAAAGTTAGATGTGTTGAGTTTCCACACCTTGCCTTCTATAAAATCGTTATGCCAATAATTTTCTAGCTTTTAAAAACGATGGACGGAAATTTTGTGACTATCTGAAAACGAAAATGATGACTTATTCAAAACAGCATTCGATTACTGACAGACCTATACATTTCCATACAATAATTTTCTGGGTACAGCATTTACTCAGGCATAGTAGATAGCAAAGTAAAATGCATTAAAACATCAACATTCCCTGAAAAATTGAGAACAATTTTCGTGAAACTTACCTATGGCGTAATAAACTAATGAACAGAAAGTAAGTCATAGAAGGTATGGCCTACCTTGACACAACTTAGTAATCCTTTCCACATCATTTTAAAGTAAAATTACAAGTCTTTGCGCAGATAGAAGTTAAAATACTGTGCTGAACCACATTCGAAAAAAAGAAAATAAAAGAGATTTGTTTTTTACACAAATAAATCTTGCATAACAATTCAACCTAGTATGCTTCGTCTCTAGTAGTTTATGCATTGCATAAGAGGAAATAAAGTTAGATTTGGTGAGTTTCCACACCTCGCCTTCTACAAAATCGTTATGCCAATAATTTTCTCGATTTTAGCAACAATTGACGGAAATTATGTGACTATCTAAAAACGTAAGCGATGATTTATTCAAAAAACATTCGGTCGCTGACAGTTCTAAACATTCCAATGAAACAATTTGTTGGGCACAGCATTTACTAAGGCATAGCAGATAGCAAAGTAAGATGCATTCAAACATCGACATTCCCTAAAGAATTGAGAACAATTTGCGTGAGATTTACCTATGACGTAGTAAACTAAAGAACAGAAAGTAAGTCATAGAAGGTATGGTCTACCTTGACACAACTTAGTAATCCTTTCCACATCATTAATTAAGAGGAATTTAGAACAAAATCATCATAAACTACGATCATAAGACTTCACGAAGATAAAACTTAAAATACTGCGCTGCTCTACATTTCGAAAAAATAAACATAACATAGTTTTGCTTTTAAAACAAGTAAATATTGCGTTACTATTCAACTCAATATGCTTCGTCTCCGGTTTGCAACAACCACATCGAAAGATTTCATTCCCCATAGAAAAATAATTAAGAGAAAATTAAATCCGGATTGATTCCCTTTCACATGACGAGTAGTCACAAGAGCAAGCCACACTTAAAAGTGTCGTAGTCCACGTTTTGAAGTACGTTTATTTACACCCCCAGTGTCCTGAGGAAAACAGAAATTTGTCGCTTACAGACCCCGGAAAGTCGATTTAAGGCGCTTCTATTGGCGATTACGACATGACGTACAGATACATAGCATAAACTAGTGATGAAATTAAAACTGTCCAGAGGCCACAAAAATAGCTGCATTGTTTCGGTCTCAAATATTTTCCTTTGGAGACTGTGAAGAAGATTTTAAGGGTCATTTTGATCATTATGGCCGGGTCAAATGTGTCTGGGCCAGTTCTGCCACGACGATTTTTGTGTCGCTACCGTGTTACCTTGTCTTCAGCCGTTCTAGAAATCGACCAGTGTGATTTTCGATTTTCATGGTGTAACAATGTCCATCAAAATCTTCTATGAGACCGCATACCCGCGCATGGCATGTGGTAGCTCTATTTCCCTCGGCGTCATTTAATACTGAAACTGAAATTACCAACTCGATAAATCTGTTCAAAGCCTTCATGTCGATTTTTGTTTTCAATATCACGTTAAACGCCGTTCACTTATCAGCGAACAAGTATTGGAATAAATCGACAATACCACAATTAAGACAAACGTTACTCTTGAATAAAGTAAAAATCGTTCACACATAAAAAATTTTTTCTCTCGTAGACCCATCAAACCCTGCGTATTAAGTTCACACATAAATCGCTCGCTAGAACACTCATTAACTAACACGAAAAGCACTACGAATATGACCACAAAGTACATGCAGAAAAAGGAGAGACAATTCAAAAGTGACGAATTTGTCGATTCAATATATATTTGTATATATATATATATATATATATATACATACACAAAGTGTAAAATTTTGACTTTCGTAAAACAGTGCTCAATACACAGGAGTAGAGCGATGTATGCATTGTGGGAGGAAAAACTGAAACTAAACTGTCAAATTTCGCGCTGCATAAATTAGATTATATTGTATACAAGTGATGCTAAAGATTATTCTCACTAAATCCCCTGATGAGTGGGCAACCACGAAGCAGGTCTGTTCGGATGAACTCGTAGTTTATTTGTCTTTTTCCTCCCACAATATATATACATATCGATTGGTAATACTTCCAAAGACCCCAAAAAGCGTGGCACATTCAAATAAATTTTTCATTCGCCTTGATTAGAAAGGGATCAACAACTAGTACTTGCATAATTTACTAAAATGTTTAACATTTAAAGTACAGCATTTCCAGCTATCCATTCTCGAATTTTACAAAACATTTCCCGCACACTGTGCAACCATGAGTATGTCATTAAGTCGCGCAGGATCAGTCGGGACAGAGCCCGATACTGAGAAAATAGCAGACCTCACGTGAACGGTGTTAAGGCGACCTGATAGGTTGCTCTATTTCACAAGCTTCTAGTCGTTAACTGTCTGGCAAGCTAATGTTCGGTCGAATGAAAAATAATTGATTCCACGCAAGTACTGAAAAGGAAAGCAAGGTTAGATTCATTTTTGGTTTTGTGACGTTTAAGAGCACACAAAGTCATTTCATTTGATTTTTTTTGTAACAGCTGAGTATTTACCGCGAACACAAACGAGCATACGTAGCGGCCAAGTTTGGGCATGCCTTTTACTGCGATCTCGTCAAAAGTACTTGTTGAATTGATCATTAATTTCATGAAGAGAATTCATCATCACACGGAAACAGAGGCTGAAGTTTGATTATGAAATTAATCCGAGCCTTTTAATCGCTTAACCACCCTGAAAATAATCGAGGAACAGTAAAACTATCTCTTCTTCGCATCACTGGTGTGACAATCGTTTCAAATAACGTTTTAACTCACGGAACTTTATTGTCTAGGGTTTGAACGTCTCATAAGTCGTTAGAGATAAAAATGTGCTTGACTGTCTAAGTTATTAGTTGACTGAGCTGGATCTAGTCTCAAGCGATGAATCTCAGATACTCAAATGAAATGAAATGCCTAAAAAATCAATTTCCTCATGTAGGCGCTAAGTAGTTTATGCATTGCATAGGAGGAAATATAGTTAGATGTGGTGAGTTTCCACACCTTGCCTTCTGCAAAATCGTTCTGCCAATAGAGTTCTAGCTGTTAGCAACGATTGACGGAGATTTCGTGACTATCTAAAAACGTATGCGACGACTAGCAAAGTAAAAAGCATTTGATTGACCTACGACGTAGCTAACTAATTAATGAACAGAAAGGTAGTCATAGAAGGTGTCATACGTAAACCGTTCCACGTCATTGATTAAGCAGAATTCAAAACAAAATCCTTCATCGTAAACTAAAATCACAAGTCTTCACGAAGAAAAAGTTCAAATACTCTGCTGCAATACATTTCAAAAAATAATAATTAAATAGTTTTGCTTTTTAAATTAATAAATCTTGCGTTACGATTCAACTTAAAATGCTTCGTCTCCAGTTTGCAATAACCATATCGGAAGATTTCATTCGCCACAGAATAGGAATTAAGAGGAAATTTAATTGGGATTGATTCCCTTTCACATGACGAGTAGTCGCCAAAGTTAAAAGTGTCGCAGTACACGTTTCGAAGTACGTCCATTTACACCTCCAGTCTCGATTATTTTGGTTTGGAGACTGTGAAGGAGAATATTATGATCATTCTCATTATTATGGACGGGTCAAACGTGTCTCGGCCGGTTCTGCCACGTTGAGTTTTGCTACTCTTCCATTGTCATCAGCCGTTCCAGATCTAAGTCATGTAATTTTCGGTTTTCATGCTGTAATAATGTCCATCAAAAGCCCCTTTGAAGTCCACTGACTGTAGGGCTAGTAGGCCTACCGCATACACGCGCATAGCATGTGGTAGGCTCTATTTCCCTCGGCGTCATTTAATACTGAAACTGAAATTACCAACTTGAAAAATTTGTTTAAAGCCGTCAGGTCGAGTTTTGTTTTCATTATCACATTAAACGCTGTTCACTTGTTAGCGAACAAGCACTGAGGGTAATCAAAAATACCACAAATAAGACAAACGCTATACTTGAATAAGGTAAAAATCGTTCAAAATCAATTTGGAATTCGTATGATCACAGACAACAACGCTGACTAATCTTATATTCAAATATAACTTGTGACAAAATCAACAAACTCAGCAAAGCAGTGACGCAGGTTCATTTACGAGATAAATGAAATATTTTAACTCTGGGAATACTAAATATAACACGAAAAGCGTATTTATCACAAGATAAATTAAAGGTTGGCTTACTTGCTTACTTCCTTGATAGTTCTTGAAGTTTTGCATTTCATATTCTCAGCTTGGCCCAAATTAAATGTAGGCCACCAAAATCTGCATGCTCCCAAGAAAACCTAACGTCCGAGAAGACTACATTCATTACCGATCTTTCAGGACTACTTGTGAAAGCCCTAACAATAATTCTTGTATAATGTATCAAAGCTCGCCAAATAGTGTAGAGGATCTTAATCCGTAGGATCAATACATATGGCGTTAAATACTTTTGCCAATGGAACTGGAGCTCAGTCTCCCTAACGGTAACTCTTCACACAAATGTTAAAAGATTATTTAACTTTAACACTCTTGACTTAAAAATGGTGGACCTGGAATCCTTTTCATGATTCTCAAACATTAATAAAAGCTAAGCTCGACATGTAATACCTCGCATTATCCGGCGATGAACATCATTTTCTAGGAACGAAATGAAATGTTTAAAAATCGTGCGGGTTATAAGTTGTCTTAAACGGCGTTGCGTGACACTAATCCCTACTTGAAATAAATTATCTATGTAGAAGCTTACGCATCGACTTGGTTGGTGAGTTGCTTCTTATCACCTTTGCTGAATTACTAAACACAAACTTAATTTCAGGCCTTTAGCCAAGGAAGAGGACGAATTTCTGAGGAGAAAAACTGACCTATGAGTATGGCCCGTAGTGCAAGATTGCGCGAAAAATTACGTAATAAATTATAATTCCATTTAAACAAATTGAAATTTGTATTGGCTTCTTCAATACAACTTTTGAAAATGAAAATTTCGTAGGAAGATTTAAAACGAGTAAATTAAAAGTCCATCACCCAAAAATAAAGGCCAGAGGTCATGAAAATAGGAACGCTACTAGTGCGCGACAAACGAACTGAAAATTTATCATCCCTTTATTTTTGGATTTCTTTCATTTTTCTGTTTCATTCAAACACATTACACTCGTGTCTCGCATTATTACCGGAATGTAGCATTAATTCTTGTCTTACCCAGGCGTATCGTTCACTCCAAAGCTAATTTTGTGGCTCTTAACTTCTTTTTTAGGAAATATGTACTGTTAAGAATATTTACTTTTTATTTTGAAAGGTTTGAAACCTCGCGGTTAAACTCGACGGGAACTTGCAGCTACACATGCCATGTTCAGGATACGCGGTCGCACGTACTTAAGGGCTTTTACCATAGCAGCTTGGTTTAAGAGCGAAAGAGGAAGGAAAACGTCGATGAAGCAGACGAAGGTTGGATTTGTTCCCTTCGTGTTATTAGTGATTAAGCACCTTGTAGGAAGATGCACAGATAATTTACACTAGTTAATAATATACAAGCAAAAAATGACTCTATTTTCCTTTCTAGTTCAAACTTTTAAAATCTCCCTTGAAAAATTAACCGTCTGTACTCTTTCTCCGTTAGATATCAGTCGACAGCAGTAAACATCAAATGAAAGCTATCACGCTCGTAATCTTCCCCGTCTTTCGTATGAACTGTTGCATTAAACACCTCGAAAAATTTGTTTCTCCATCTACTTTAAAATACATTGAATTTATTAGAGTGGGAAAGATGGAAATTCGTCTCACAAATTTCTCTTTGTCTCGAATTGTTAGCGGTCGACGTGGGTCGAGTATTACCGGGATGTGGCATTCTGCGTCTCCATGAGGTCAAAAGACCCGAGCCTACAGGTGGGATGCGTTACTGTGCACCCAAAATCACTCAGGGTGAGTAATATTGTAGGCTATCACTTGTTATATCTTTAAGGAAATACACACTTAGAAACATTACCATGCTCAAAGAGCATTATAGAAAAAAAAGAAACCTGTGTTGCAGAACAACTGTGGTTGTGATTTTTCCGATGTTATTCTGGTGCTATTTTGGACAGAAAAATGCGGCGGGTAAACCATTCCTTTCACAGACTAACTTCCTATAACCCTTGGCAGATCTTGAGCGCTGGGTACAATGGATTTCCTCCCGGAACTCCAAACAAGGACGAAAACTGGAGAAAAGGTACAAAAGATGATCTTGTCGTCCACGCGGAGGCCAACACTGTGCTCCTGGCAGGCCAAGCTGATCTTGAAGGTTCAATTGCCTTCGTTACAATGTATCCCTGTCGGGAGTGTGCGAAAATGTTAATAGCGGTGAGTGATGTCGAGAACATTCGTATAACTTGATATAGTGAAACCTGTGTGAGACGGGGCCCATAAGCGAGAGAATTTGCATCTTAAAACCTGTATCATATGGATGGCTTAGTGAGAACTTTGAGTGTTGTCTTCATTTCATGCATTAAAATTAATTTCAAACTTTTTCAGATCTTTTTAAAATGGCCATTAGGAAGGTTCCTAATCGTTCACTCTGAGTTAAGAACTAGCCACAATTACACAATTCTGAAAATGTTCTTATGCTTGTGCGCGCCAGCGGGAGTCCGTGAGTTACCGATTTTAAAAGAGGTTACTGTACAGCCCCCTCTTCCATTGTGAGATGTATGTTTACTACCTGTGTGTCTTAGAGTGCAAATTTGTGTCCTTATATCCTAGGGATTAAGTGTTTGTTTTATTACGCAGACGTTTCAGTTGGTTTCCCTCAATATGGAAGTGATAATTAATTGATGACTATATCTTGTTCCATCTGTAGAAGGGTGTCCGTAAGGTTTATTATCTTTCATTAAAAAAAAAATACCAAGCGGATTCAACTGCCATCTTTAAAGAAGCCGACGTCGAGGTCGTGTAAGTAATAACTCTGGTTAGACTGAAATCAACTCTGATAACAACTTGCACATATTTGTGGTGAGAACATTCTCAAATAAACATCGTAATGGTGAATGAACAAAAAGAAACAAACAAATGCACCATTGCATCCTATGATCTGGGTTTCAACATCAGAACTCAGTTCCCCAGTTCGAGGGAATATGCCAGGTGAATGAATAAAAACAATGATAAGTAACTGCATAACTGGGAATTTAGCAGGTGGAGATTACACCAGGTGGCTCTTCTTTTCAACTGTTCCAGATCGATTTGGAATTTGGATTGTTGGTTTATGTTAAGGAAGGAGAACCATAGGACCCGGAGAAAAACTCTTCAGAGCAAGGACAAAAAAATCAACAACAAACTCGACCGCATCTACAATGATTGTGCGAAAAGTTATAAGCTTAAGCAAAAATTTTTAGCGTTTTATGTGTTCATTTTTGTAAACCGTTTTTCTTCGAGTAAGCACCCGCACTCTAATAAGCGCCCTACCCCAGATACGCCCTCACCCCTAAGCAACTAAGCCATAATGTCAAACAAGTTCCCCCCCCCTCTTCTGCCCTCTCGAATGAGTGCTCCCCCTCCTCCTTCACTTTCTTGAATAGAAGGAATACAATAAAAACATGTTTCTGTGGCCACTTTATCTACAATTTTTTAAGTTTCAACTAGAGCGGAATCAGTACGGAAGAATATCTATTTTTTCGTTTTCGTTATTTTTATCTGTGTTCTCGCGGAGTTTTTCTTTTGAATTGTTGTGCTATCGCTGTGCTAACCCGATAAGTGTCCCCCTCGATTAAGCGCCCTCCTCCCAATAAGCGCCCCCCTTCCCCCTCCCCACTTCTTTCTCGCCGAAGTTTTAAATAAGCACCCGGGCGCCTATTCGAGGAAATACAGTTTGTATCTATTGTCAATATCTATCTTATTCAGTTTTGCTGCAATGACTTTTTTAGATTTATGTATGAGCGATAAAGGAGTGTTGAGACTCTACTGACTTTCCCCTCTTCGCAAATTTTCAAGCAATGCTCGGGTTGTTTGTCTTTTCAGCCACGTGTATTGAGGGGAGAAAACGGTTTTCCCTTAATTTTACTTACTGCCTCTGCAGCTTTTTGCACATATTTACATTCACCTTTTAGTTAATTAAGAGCAGAATCTCATTGATCTATTTTAGGCCCATAAAGCGAGGTGAGGATACAACGCTGGAAGACTACGGGAATCACCTGATCCAGAAGGTTAGCTTCGTAATGCAACAGAACACGACACCGGGTGAACCAAATGGTGCCTATAAAGCCTTGAGGGACAGCACGGAAGAACTAAGGAGCAGGGATCTACAAAGTCCATGGCCGAGAGAGTTAATGGGCAAGGTCAGTAATTGTTAAGTCAAGGGGAAAAAGTATTTAAACTTTATGGAATTTTTTTTTCTGCATCTCTACTGCCAGATTTTTAATTTGAAGCTAAGAATGTTACTATTTTTTCAGTTAGTGAAATATCATTAACCCTATCACAACTCACCATAGAGTATTTGTTAGGCAGTCTTAGCACCGGAAAGTGACAAATAAAATAATATTCTTGAAAAATTCAAATCGTTTGATTCTAGATCTTACTGGACAAATGGACAGACTATTTTCTGTTCTTGGCTCTCATTGCCAGCACAAGATCTTTGGAAAACCCTCAAGGAGCAATCTTGATAGATTCTAAAACCTTAAAGGTATGTATTGGAAAATTTCAATGTTACCCACATCGATACATAAAGGACCCTATAGATATTTAGGACGGATCGCAGCAAAAACGTGGCACTGCTTAAGTTAAACACTCAGAAAAAAAGATGGACCTTGAATATTCAACTCTAATTTATCTTAAGATTAACAAGGAACCTGTAAATGCAGCGTGTAAATTTGCAAACAACAAAAAAAAAATGCGAGTTTAAACCTGCCTTTAATGGAAACGGCAAAGGGCGACAATTAACATTGATTTGACTTCATTTTTTTCTGTGAAAGAAATAAAAAAGGAAGTCTCATGTTTATGTTTGGTACTAAACTCATAACTCAAGTATTAAAATGGTTGGAGGCGGAGGGTAAGAATTCCTGTTTTGTCGTTTTCCCGTTTGCCCTAACCGCTATGCCAAACTTTCCTATTATAATATACAAGACAACCGTCCACGAAATTTTGCATCCCGGTGACTAAAAGTCACGAAGACAAAAACGATTCAAATCGTGCCTGCCATGTCCCACAGATCATAAACTAAAGACATTTCTCAAAGTCATGAAATTTATAGAAACGAAACAAAGCCCATGGCATAATTGCTCGGAGGAACGCTACAAGTCAAATCCCTTTCTAAATAAAATTTCTAATTCATTAATTCAGACACATTGTAATGATATGAATCATACTCATATCTCCTAAAGTAGAAGAACTGGTATTGTTGCGCCTCAAAAGCCTGCTCGAGAACCTTTCAATTTGAGTCTGATTTTGCATTTAGGAATCTTTTCGGCTTCTTGCAAAAGTCTGGGATCCTGTGTTCTGGTTATGGTTAGTTATATGTATTGAGAATAATTATCATTTACCTATCAGCATCCACGTTACATATAAAACAGATCTTTCTTTTAAACTTTCAGATATCGGCGTTATCGTACAACGGATATCCGAGAGGTGTCAGCAACGATAACGCTGATGACTGGATGAAATTGTCTGCGTTAACAAACGCCATTTGTCTTCGATTCAGCGAAGGACACGATTTTATCGCATTTTCAACTCACTTCCCAAAGCTTCATGAAGTAAAAAATCTTGCACAGGTGAGAATCGCGCGATGAAGGCTAAAGCTTTCAAAGTTACTCCGTTAAGTTGTGACAGCAATTTTAGGAGGAAGTACCATTTCTTCAATAGTACGATATTTCTGTAATGCAATTGTCCTTGCAATTGTCCAGTTGTCAAGGTCTCCAAATAGCTCCATTAGTGGTTAATTTCGTATCCAGCACCCTAAGGTAAGCTGATCCAAACGATTAAGCTTGATCGCAATCAATTCCGCAGCAATCCACGTCAAGTTTCTTAAGATCATCTCTCTTCATCTTTCTCTATTTCTTTCCGAAGGCTCGTCTTTGGAAACCCATGATCATCAAAATGGGCATCCTCATTTCGTGCCTTGGAAAGAGTTGGGCCGTGACATTATTCAAGCTCCAACATGTTTGACTAAGCTTCGAACATTTCTTTGCTACTTTTGCATACAGGCCCAGGTAAAGCGATTGTACTTTATATGGCCAAAGACTCTTGAAGGGGACGACGAAAAGGCGCTGCAAATTATGAAAGACTCTGGAATGGAAGTTGTGTAAGTAACAAGTCAGTTGCCATATAATAATCAATAACGAGTTTGTTTGTTGGATATAAATCTTTTCTGGCTCTGATAAATTACTTGAATTATGAATATGAAATAGCTCACTTTTTACATTTAAAGGCCAATGGATGTTCCTGATTTGGAAAAACTAGGAGAGGCCATAAAATACACCATTGGAAGCCTGAAGGAGGCAGAGAAAGGGCTTTCCTCCGATGATTGGCCAAGTTACACTTGGACCGAGTATGACTTACAACCAGAACGACACCGTTGGAAGCCTAAACAAACCCCGGAAGCTCGGACATGCAGTGGAGCTCATAGCACATACCGTAATGATTCGATTTAGCGCCCGGGGTGCTTATTTACTTTTGGTACCTCAAGGGAGGGCGCTTATTCGAGACAGGGCGCTTATTCGGGACAGGGCTCTTATTTAAGTTTTTGAGAAACGACCAAATGGTTAAAGCATAACTTTAATAAATATTAAAATAACTAACAATAACAGAAACTGTAACAGTAACAAATTGTTGAAAGTTCAGCTACTTTAAAAAGAATTCTTCATTTTATATACCATAGCTGTAACAAGTATACATGTAAGGTACGTTGAATGTTCGTGAGTTTATCTACCGTATTCGATGTCGATGACTTCAGTGTCACTTGCGTCAATTATCAAGCTATCTGTGCCGATGTAACTTTCCTTCCTTATATTCACATTTCTCAAAGCCCGCCATGAGAATAAAGTACAGGTCAAAGTGACTGGATCAAGAAGACTGGAAAACGGACTTGTTGTCCCCGGAGCGTTCCTAGCGAGAACAACCAGCAGAGTAATCGCCACACAATTTGAAGAAGAGATGACTTGTTTGAAGGAATTATGTTCTCACATGGACATAACAGTTGAGAAACTCAGACGAAAACCACTGTTTTTGTAATGCATTATTACGTACGGTATATCGGCTATTAAAGGAAGATGAACCACGTTTGATACGTACTCTGAAGGCGCTGTAATATTAGAACAGGGGCGCTTATTAGAATAGGGGCGCTTATAAGAATGGGAGCGCTTATTGGAAGAGGGGCGCTTATTAACAAAAACACATTCGAAGGGGAGCGCTTATTCGAAAGGGGGCGCTTATTGGAAGGAGGGCGCTAAATCGAATCATTACGGTAAGTCCAAACTTCGGCTTGGGCAATTTTTCTTAAATAACTTCCCACTTTCAAGAAGTGTTTCTTCGTTCAAAGTTGGCATCTTTCTTTCATCGTTTATTTGATATTTTATCAAGCAAGTAAATATTTCGCTGCCGTTGAAGTAGATGGGAAGAATATAACAGGAAGCGTTGCGGCATGGAATAATCGAACTAGTTCTGCGTACAGTAATGTATCTGATCAGGTATATTCAGGGTGTTAAGTGTGTAGATTGTCAAATAAACCCAAGTCGGACAGGAAATTGGTGCCCACGAATTTCTGTAGAACGTAAGTAAGCGTAGATTCCCAAAAATAAAACCGATTTCAACTCTTTGAACGTGTACGATTTCAGTTGTTAAGTCAGTGTAAAATTTTTAAGTATACACATCTCTTTTTCGCAACATTATGTTTAATTTGCCGGGAGCAGTTAGACAAAAGGAGAGAAGGCAAAGGTGGATAGGGTCATGTCACCGAGGTGACTCGTTCGTGTGCACGAAGGACAGCTACGTTTGTAGTTTACATTTTGTCGGTGAAAATGGTCCAACAGAAGAGGATCCTGATCCCATATCTGCTGTGGCTAGTAAAGAAAGAGTCAGTTAATTCAGTGATTCTTTTATGTCATTGTTTTGTCTTTGGGACCGGTTGCATAGTTGACAAATCTATAACTTCATGAAGATCTGATTGTGCAGAGGGGCTGATACTGGTATGTCCTCCAAAGCATACTCCACATGAAGTAATGATGTTGCTGCAAGAATAACTTGGCTGCTGAGCTGCAGAACTGATTGTCTGTGAACTACAGCTTTTTAGAGATGAGGAATCTTCATTTTCATTTGTTGAGTCTAATAAAAAAAATAGATGACAACATATCAGTATCACTGTCATGGAAATCTCCGGCTGGGTGACCTTATAATTTATCCATCTTTGTGTGGAGATCAGAACTCTGAAAAATGTTAAAAAATAAAAAATTACAAATTAATTATTTGAAATCATAATTAGAAAAAGGCTATATACCAGGAAAAAAAGCAGTGTGAAACTAAGTTATTCATCATGAAAGTGAGAAGCTGCTGAGACAAAAACATCTCAAGCTTGGAACACAAGTTTTAGTCATGAAACTTGGATTGAGAGGCACGTCAACAGCAAAGACACCTTTTTTTGTCCACACGACTAAGATATTCAAGGAAAACTTACTCACAAACATTTGTAGCTGAAGTTGGAAGTAGTACTGGGAAGAGGGTTTTAAGGCAAACCTCTTTTCGCTCACAACGCCACCAATTTTTAAGGATAAGGAAAGCTTCTTCAGAGCCCATATCTCTGTGTTTCCAGGGGCATTTGCATTCTAAAACGTTGTTTGGACAACCATCAGAGCACTGACATTTTATTAATATTGCCCACACTGGCATCAAGGAAGGCTTTGACTTTGAAATTAGAAAGCCTTTTGAGACCAGTTCCAGTTTGTGGTGGGTATGGCTGGTAACTCTCTGATATGTTCCACGCACTCTCCTCATGAAATAATCCCCACTCTCTTGGATTTTGTGGTTCCTCTTCCTGATTTTGACAACAACTGTGTGGTGACTTGGGTAGCACAATATCTTATATGAACTTTTTGACATCTTTTTCATTTTTTTCAATGGCCTTTTTCCCGGTAAAGACTCTTTTACACTTTGAAGCTATTATGAAACCAGCCTTGTGAATATACCATTCCTCACATTGCCACTGACTTGAGGTGGTGCTCTCTACCTAATCTCTTTCTACATCACTGAAGGATAACAACCTAAACACATCTTTGCTGGAGATGTTGGGACGGCCTTCAACAATCTCTTGTATTTTGGTATTCATGATACCAGTCTTAGCCTTGTTAAAAGGCCCATTGTCCACTTCTGCGTGAGCTTCGGAAGTGTAGTGGAGTTTTTTGATTAGGGGCAAGATAACTGCAGGTGCATCAGTTTTCAACTGGCACACCTTTTTGGTGAATTGACGGACATATTCCTCATCTTTTGGATTCTTGTCTGTCGAAGCGAGAACATCCCTGTCAATATACTGAAGAGAAGTGTGTTTACGTTTTCCTTTTTTGTGAGAGGGTTTTGTAAATTTTTTTGTAATTATAACCAGGTCCTTCACTTTGTATGATTTAGTATTTGCTCTAGGTTTTGTAACCCAGATACATGGGCCACTGGTTACACTATCTTTACCTCGAATGTTTTAACAAATCTTCTAAGGAATAAATGGCAGCTGCAACGTGCTTGCATCCCCCATCTCGATCACCTTTACATTTACATTTAGCTTGAAGGAAATTGCCCCGGTTTGCACCTCTGCTCTCAACAATAAATCAGAGATGGTAGTATTCCTTTCCCTCGTCCGTTTTTACTTCCATAAAATTGCACACATTGGCTACGTATAAATGAATTCCGTCCTGTTTCAAATGAGAAGTTAGTAAAGATTCCACGTAACCATCATCGAAAAGTCGACTGGATATTCTAATCCTATCGGAGACCTTTTTAACTCAAAAAGTCCCCGATTCCTTCAGTAATATTCACGAATTCCAGCTTCATCGAAAGGATAGAGTTGCAAAATCCCTTAAGGCAATAAGACGCGGAGACCTCGAAGCAAACAACATTGAAATTTTATGGCTTGAAATCTGCCCCTGTAAATCGAAACGGCCTCTTTTTATTAGCGGTATTTATGGGCTTCCGTCATGTCGGTCAGCAGACGACAAGAAGCTCGGGAAAAACATCGAAAATGTGTATCTTCTCAACAAGGAATTTTTTTTTTAACTCGACTACTTACACAATAAGAAGTTTGGAAAAAACTTATTCATAAAAACACTGATATAAATTACATGTGCAGAAGCTTTGCTGAATTACTAAACACAAACTGAATTTCAGGTCTTAAGCCAAGGAAGAAATCAATTTTCTGAGAAGAAAAACTGCTGGCGATGGCACATTGGAAAAAGGTTTCATTTAAACAAATTGAAATCTGTGTGGGCTTTTTAATTTCAATACAACTTTTGAAAATGAAATTTTGTAAAAAAGATCTAAACGGTAATAAGACAATTAATGAGTAAATCAAAAGGCCGTCACCCAAAAATAAAGGCCAGAGGGCGCTTTTGACTAATCTCAGAGTTTTTCTTTGAGCCATTTACATGACAAGAGGGACGCTACTAGTATACGGAAAACGAGCTGAAAATTTATCACTTTTATCACCTTGAAGAACGGTTGTTTTTTTTCAAGTACTTTGTTGTGCGTTCGGAATGTCTTGAGGTGGCTTTGGTTAACGTTCTAAAAATATGTGTACTCTACCACGGTTGTCCCGCAAGCCCAAACATGCCAGCCGATAAGGTATTTAAGAGCGTGTACTGTGGGGCTGAATTTTAGAGAAGAAAGGGACAGAGATTCCGAGAGTAAAATAAACTATTCCTAATCAGACGCCCGGTGCCTCCTGTTTGCGCCTGTGGTTTAAGCTTGTTTACCCCAACAGTCCAATAGATTGCATATTCAAAAATGTTACTTTTCCAAAAACGTTTAGCGTTTAAAATTCGGAGGAAGTAAAAAAATGATTTTTGATAACAAGGGCAAAACCGATTGAAACCGGTTTTAGCTGTTTTAAAGCTACATGTTTGAAATAATCGCCCTAACCTTGTGATATCCCTAGTGGAAAACCGCATTGCTGATAAAAAAAAAGATAACTTAAACATTTCTTTCGCAATAAGAGTGTTGTTGTAAACCATTGTCAATATTTGGGTTTCACTAGAAGGTTCGTAAAGTGTTCTTAATAAAAATAATAAATAATAAATAATAAATACATAATTAATCGAACGTGGCACCAAAAAGAGATAAATTGAAACAAACAAAAAGCTGAATACGTTTACACCTAAATTTTGCATTTTATCGGAGATGTTGCCGACTATCTTAGTCGAGCGCCTATCGAACGGGTGAATTTTAAGGCTTTGCTCACCAAAAGGTGATTCGTTACAAGTTTTGAACCTTCGTCAGACGCTCCTGCCACGCACTGGGTAAAAAGGCCAGATGTTAGTGTCATTTAAGTAAAATTAAACAACTATTAAATCCAATGACAATTGTAAGTCATGTTTTCTAAACTTAAACATGACTTTAAATGTACCTTTGTTTAAGTGAGGTTTAAGCATTCTGAAACGCAATTTAAATCGACATTGAGATTTAAGCTATATTTTTTTTAGAACACATGTACAGGCCATTACTTTTTATCATATATCAGTTAACTTATTTATTTATTTATTTATTTATTATGTATTTAATAGAAAACTGAAGTAATTTTTTTGTTGGAACAAATTATTTTCATTTAGATTATAGGGATAGTTTCTTCTAATTATTGTTAAATTTATTGAATAATTATGGGAAAATTTGTTCCTGTAAAGCATAAATAAGCTAGGTATGTGTGACGTTTTAATTACAAATTAGAAGTAACTCTAAGAATGTGTACCAGTGAATTTAAAATAAAAGAAACTTGAAAAATGTATTGTTTAGTGTGATACGTGACCTGGTGGGTGGCAGTTTAGTAATTAAACAACAAAACAATAATATTTTCCTGATTTCACAAATTTGATCCAAAACTAAAATAAAGCAACACATTTTGAGCAGATTAATTTGCATTAAATGGTACTTTGACAACATGCAATGTTTAAGTTCTGTTTACTTCAATTAAACAGTACTTAAACATACAGGAATGTTTTGGACACATTTAATGTGAACTTGAACCTACATTATGTTTTAGCCTTAAGATAGTTACTTAAATCTTAAACATTATTAAAACCTGAGTTTAAGACAGGATTAATCCATGTTCAAGGACACTTAAATATATCTTTTCTCCTTGTGTCGATTCAAGTATCAGTTCATTATTCAGAGGAAAACTCAATTAAACTATCAATTTATGGTATTATTAGAGTTTTGCTACTCGTTCGGGGCGGGATGGTGGGATGTTTTTTAACAAGAATGTTGCAATGAGTTTATTTCGTATTTTAGTAATATCAATATTGTTAATATAGCTTGATGGAGCCAGTTCGTGCTAGCATCATATTGGGGTAATTTAGTCTAGTGAACTGATTTGAAAACGTAAACTGTCCACCGTAAAGCGTTTAGAGGCTGGCGTTCCGAGCGTTAGCCCTTCGTCAGAGCGATTGAAGGAATTGTGGATTGTGTGTGGGTTTATATGTAGAAAATGGAGCTACACTATTGGTGGGAATATGGTGACGAGAAAACAAGAATAAATTACTTGAATGAAAAGCGCTCGTTGATACCGTGGGTATTAATTAAATTTTGTTTTAGAGTTTTGCGGCTTTCCGAACTGCCTAGATGTAGGGAAAGGCCACAAACTGCCATATGCTATTTAGAATGATTAGGGAGATCGAAACGTCAGCCTTTACGTTGGCCAATTTACGTTTCCAATTCAGTTGATAACACTTAATTACCCTGTAATACTCACCCACCAATGCAGCACCACAGTTTCTTTTGAAACTTACTAACAACCTCTATTCATCTAGCGTCATATTACATTGCACATTCGCTTATCGCTGTTCCAGCTCGATCGTTTAGCTGTTTTCCTACATTTATCATACCTTAATCGACTTCCGCTGCTCGTTTTCACAAAAATGTTCTCGAAAAGCAAATCCAACGCAAGAATAAGTGCTCTGGTGGCGGAACACAGGAAGATCTCCACCGATTTTGCAGCAATGGGAAAACACTGCGAAGGACTCGAAGAACCGGATCCTGATAGCGACGGCGCCACTGATGAAACTTGGCCTGTCAAGGAATAGCAACCATTCGCTCCTGTTCCTGGCGATAAAGAAGACGCGTCACCACACGCCATACGCTTTTTGTCGAGGCAAGTCGAAGCCCACCAGCTCGAGAAAAACTCGCTGCGCGAACCTGTGACTGACCTCAAAACAATCAAGGATAAAACTCAACAACCGAACCGACCGCTCCCGCCAAAACCAACTGCATTAACTCCACCATTCAGGAATAACCAAGACCTCCATCTGGCCCAAATGGTGGCTCTGGCCACCCAGTTTCAGTTACCGTACTTACGGCCGGTAAAACTGGCGCCTATATTGATTTTATCGATCTTCTTCCACGTCTCAAACCTAAGCCCGAGACACGTGCTGATGTTACCCCTGGAACCGGCGATCGAAAAACAAGCGCGATCCACAACTCAACTATCGAATCATTGGACTAGTGGCCCGAAGCGTTGAGCTTTAATGAAGCGCTCTTGATGGATGTCGAACCACGTCTTTACAAGGAACTCGCCCGCTATCGGGACGTGATCCAAAAGGCTAACAGTATGACTGGCTAACTGCTCCTCGGACTGCTATAAAAGATACATTCGCTCCCCCTTAATAAGTCTCCTTCTATTAATCGTTGCTCCTCGTCTCGCCAAGACAAAGGACATTCCTTACCAATATGCCTCTCCTTACCAATCCAGCACTTAGTTTTTTTTTATTTTTATTAGGCCACCTTTTTGGGCAGTTTTTTTTGTGTTCCAGTATATGCATTACATTAAACTGCTCATTTAAGGCTCAAACTTATGTGCTGTTTTTTTGTGGTCAGGGGCAGGGGGCATTAAGGTTACTTCCCACCTTCGCAGGTGTCTTTCGGGAAAAAAATTTGTACGCACACTAGTTTCACTAAAATCCTAAGGAAACTTTATATCAGAGAAAGCTTAATAAATGCAGTTTAAGCGACTTTTCTTTTAAGGAAGTGTCAGGAGCCGGTAGGGCGTGACCGAAGGTTCTTCTATTTAGCAAAATGGCTGCATAGGCTCATTCAAAAGGCATCAATCGACAAAATTATATCAGGCTTTTTCGATATTCTGATTGGTTGTGTAGATATCGGCATCTAAAGTTGGGGTAGCTTAATATATGCAAGTCGTGTTGCGTAAAAGGACACCACGGGACACTATCGCCTGTCATTATTCCTAGGATTTTTCGACGAAATTTGACAAAAATCAGTCGAATCTATATACCCTATGAATTCGCTCAAAGTGGCTATATTCCTACCAAAATCAAACATGAGATTTTAGCTCATAAAGGTTCGCAGACAACTGGCGCCACACTCGGAGATTATCTTGCCTCCTAAAACCGCAAACCAATAGGACAACGGGACCTCCTGCCGTCAATGACGATGGATCAAGGGAAAAGTAACCCATTGCAGACACGTTTTTTTTCTTTTTTT